GAGCCGATAGAAGATGGTACCAGTAGGATATGTAATCTACGTATGATCGAGAGGCAGTATTATTAATACACATTATATGGAAAAAGGCAATAATAAGTAACCGATCAACTAATTGCAAGCAAAGCGTACCGGACTGTACGATACCAAGCAAAGGCGCTTGACTGAAGTAAAGGATCGCAAAGTGTAATCATAGATTTTACTATAGGTGTTAAGATAGGCCTCCTCCAGCTCGGGTGGATTCCCAATCAGAATAGAACCAAAGGCTATCTTCCCTACAACCTCCAAGTATTTCAATGAAGGAGCCTTTATCACATAGACCACTTCACCAGTGTCCCTAATTATTAGTCTCTGCAAGGACGGGACATCAATAGTGAATGTCTTCACATCCGATTTTGGACATTGGATAACCTCCAGATTTTCGAGATGAGAACAACCAGATAAAAGGTTGACAACTGATTCGTCGTCTTTGTATCTCACCCCTTTAAGGTGTAGAGTTCTAAGAGACTTCAAACCAACCGGAAATGGGACATCTATCAGAATCTGTTGATTGAGTTCCAAGCTCTCTAGTGTTTGACTGTTATACAAGATTCTTGGAAACCTGAATAAATTTCCAGAGTAATATTTCCAAAAGGACACATGGAGTTTCAGTTCACGCACGTGAAGTCCAAACGCAACTCCCAATAATATTCCAATATCACAATCCAGACTAATTTCATCACACAAATTAATGCTGAGAGACAAGCTCTGAAGAACTGGAGCTTGTTGTGAAAGCAAACACCTGCAGACGTTATCTGAAAACTTCTCAACATCATTCCTTCGCTTGTACCTAAAGGTCTTAAACTCAAGACTCGGCATCGTCTTCCAAAGAGAGCGCCATCGTTTAGACAAAACACTAGTGGCTACCACAACTTTTGTTGGAAGGGAAGACAATATTTGCACAAGCAAAGCCTCGGGCAACTCACTGATCTTGTCCTCGTTTCTCAAACTTTGACCACTGCTTTTTTTGCTGTTAAAACAATAACCCCAAAAACTTTAATCAACAAAAGAACACAACATCATGTTTTTGGATATTATAGTCTAAGAAATCATATAACAGTTGTTAAGAACCACGAGTTGGTTTTTGAGTTTCGCAGATTAAAAGTTAAGAAACCCTAAAAACATATAAAAAAACTGACCATTGCTTCATTGAAGAATTATGTGTGTTGCTGTTAAATCCTTTTGATATACGCCCTCACGAATACTTAAAACGCCTTTTCGACCTCCAAACGCAGATGGTGCTCTGGTCAATTTCGGATGCCGTAGGGAACAAGGCAGAGAAAAAGGCAGAATTAGGAGATGGATATTAGGGATTTGGAGGAAGAGGTTACGTTGCGGCTGATAATTACTAGTATTAATTAGACGTCGGATGTTAGGGTTTAGGAGGAAGAGGTTGCGGCTGAGTAGGCAGGGTTCGAAGTAACTCGGGAGGAACGTCTTTTTTGCACATTTAACCTTTTTTTTTGGTGTGACGGCACACTTAACCTATTCAAACTCAAAAAGTAATTTTTTTTTTTTCTTATAAAAACATGAACAAAACCACTTTGAATGAGTAAGATGCGGTTTCGGGTCAGATAATAAACTTGGACAAGTCTACTACTATTACCTTGAGCTCTAAGATATCAGAAACACAAATCATCAGCGAATCCTAAACATGCATAAGAGAAAAAGAAAAGAATGATCGAGTTACATCATTGGTCGAATGTCACAACAGATTGATATCAAAGATGTCGACATACTCAATGAATTTACAATGAAATTAATATGGCAATGGTAGGGTTTTAGATGGGAATGATTCTTCAACTGAAGACACACAAAAATGAGAGTGAAGGTGATACAGTGACCAGAAAGTCTGTGTTTCATAAGGGGTTAAGTGTGAAGATGTTTTGAAAGAGGATCGATTATTACAGCGAGAAACGGATCAAAACCATTACAAAGGTGGCGTGAATCCTTCGAGCAGAAGAAGCTGGCAAGATGAATTCGAAGCCCTGACCACACTTTCCAACTCCTCAAGCAACTCAAGTCTCTTGTCCGGGGTAAGGCCTTTTATGTAAATCGTTGCTCTTAGGATGTATTTGGCCACCTCTTTCTCCTCTTTTAGTTGCTTTATGTCGCCATGCCACACAAATGTCTCGAGATTGAGCAACATCACATTCTTACGCTCATTCCAGTTATCACAGGATGTATCTTTTCCACAATACCAATGCTGAGACCAACGAGGGAGAAACACTTAGTACATTGTATATTAGATTAGATCATAAACCGGAACTAAGCTAACGTATATATACTTGCAATGCTTACACCGATGAGCTTGAGGACTTGTAATTTAGGAGAAGCATCGAGCATGAGCAGAAGTAGATTCCATGGGCCACGACATCAATGATTCTTCAACTGAAGACACACAAAAGTGAGAGTGAAGGTGATACATGACCAGAAAGTCTGTGTTTCATAAGGTGTTCATATGGGGTTAAGTGTGAAGATGTTTTGAAAGAGGATCGATTCTTACAGCGAGAAACGGATCAAGACCATTACAAAGGTGGCGTGAATCTTTCAAACAGAAGAAGCTGGCAAGAAGAGTTCGAAGCCCTGACCGCACTTTCCAACTCCTCAAGCATCTCAAGTCTCTTGTCCGGGGTAAGGTATCAGAAACGCAATTCATCAGCGAATCCTAATCATGCATAAGACGAGAGTGGAGAGACGAAAAGTAGACCGATTCACCAAACAATTTGTGCATAAGAGAAACAGAAAAGGATGAGTTAAAGAATGTCACAAGAGCTAGGGGAGGGAGTAGATTTTAGATTTTAATCAAACATGTCGCTTATAGCTTAAAAAAGTGAATAAATCCTTAATAACAAATTGAAGTAACAGCATAGTTAAAACTTAAAAGTGATTTGTGAAACAACAAAAGACCACTTTTATTCCCAATTATTAATATGAAAGATTCATTCGAGCAAACGAAGCTGGCAAGATGATTTCGAAGCCCTGACCAGACTTTCCAACTTTTTGACCATCTTAATTCTCTCGTCCGAGTTAAGGCCTTTAATGGAAAATGTTGCTCTCTTCAAACGCTTTGCATTTAGTAGGGTGTATTTCACCACCTCTTTCTCCTCTTCTAGTAGTTGTTTATAGCCTTTCCACACAAATGTCTCGAGGTGAAGCAACAAACATTCAGGAACATTCTTCGGTTGACTCCATTTCACTTTCACACCATCTTTTTCATTTTGAGACCAATCTTGCTGAAGACCAATGAGGGCGAAACAAAATTAATGTACATTTTATTAGATCATTAAATCTAAAAACCGATTTTCGAACTTGCAATGCTTACACAGGTGAGCTTGAGGACTTGTAATTTAGGAGAAGCATTAAGCATGAACATAAGTAGATTCAACCAATCATCGGTCCTTGAAGGTAGCTTCAGATATACGAGCCGATAGAAGATGGTACCAGTAGGATACGTAATCTACGTATGATCGAGAGGCAGTATTTTTAATAACCAGTATATGGAAAAAAGGTAATAGTAAGTAACCGATCAAACCAATTGAAAGCAAAGCGTACCGAACTGTGTGATACCAAGCAAAGGCGTTTGACTGAAGTGAGGGATCCCAGAGTGTAATCATAGATTTTACTATAGGTGTTAATATCTGCCTCCTCCAGCTCAGGTGTATTCCCAATCATAATAGAATCAAATCCTATGTATCTTGCAACCTTCAAGTATTTTAAAGAAGGAGCCTTTATCACATAGACCACTTCACCAATGCTCTTGATTATTAGTCTCTGCAAGGACGGGACATCAATAGTGAAGATCTTCACATCCGGTTGTGTAGATTGGACAACCTCCAAATTTTCGAGATGAGAACAACCAGATAAAAGGTTGACAACTGATTCATCGTCTTTGTAACTCACCATAAGGTGTAGAGTTCTAAGAGACTTCAAACAAACTGGATATGGGACATCTATCAGAATCCGTTGATTGAGTTTCAAGCTCTCTAGTGTCTGACAGTTATACAAGCTTCTAGGAACTCTGAACAACCTCAGAGAGTGAAAAATCCGAGGGGAAACTTGGAGTTTCAATTCACGCACTTGCAGTCCAAATGCTACTCCCAGCAATATTCCAATATGATAATCCATATAGTCTTTAACATTAAACTTAATTTTGAGATGCAAACTCTGAAGAAGAAGTGAAGCTTCACGTGAAAGCAAACACCTGGAGACGTTATCTGAAAACCTCTCAAGATCATTTGTTACTTTGTAACTAAATGCAAGATTCGGCATCGTCTTCCAGAGAGAGCGCCATCGTTTAGACAAGACACTAGTGGCTACCACAAGTTTTGTTGGAAGGGAAGACAATATTTTCACCAGCAAAGCCTCGGGCAACTCACTGATCTTGTCCTCGTTTCTCAAACTTTGACCACTGCTTTTTTTGCTGTTAAAAGAAAAATCCTAAATTCAATCAACAAAAGAACACGACGACATGTTTTTGGAGATTATAGCTTAAGAAATCATAGAACAGTTGTTAAGATTCTTAAGAACCAAGAGTTGGTTATTGAGTTTTGGAGATTAAAAGTTAAGAAACCCTAAAAACATAGAAAGAATCTGACCATCGTTTCATTGAAGAATTATTATGTGTGTAGCTGTTATATCTTTATGACATACGTCACGAATACTTAAAACGCTTTTTCGAGCTCCAAACGCAGATGGTGCTCTGGTCAATTTCGGGTGCCGTAGAGAACAAGGCAGAATTAGGAGACGGATGTTGGGCCTTCGGAGAAAGAAACAGGGTACGATTAACTCGGAAGCATCCTCTTTTTTTTTGTCGTGCCCATATAACCTATTTAATTTTTGGTTTTGACTTTTGAGGCGGCACACATTTAACCTATACTCAAACACAAAAAATACATATATTTCTAAAAAAATAAACAAAATCAATTTGGTATATTCATCCTCTCTGCAATTGCAAGGCACAAGAAATACGAATCAGTAAAGCAGACGAAGCTTGACATAGATTCGTCTCTGACACACGACTATTAACTCTTTCTTTGGGAGCCAGTTAGAAGAACATATATTTTGTTAAAATCCAAAAAACCTATTAATGACTATGGTGTGGTTTAGGGCCAGATAATAAACTTGGAAAAGTCTACAACTATTACCCTGAGCTCCAAGGTACCAAAAATGCAATTTATGAGCGAATCCTAAACAAACATAAGACGAGTCGAGAAAAGAGTTACCAAACAATTTGTGCATAAGAGAATCAGAAAAGGATGAGTTGTTACATCATTGATCGTTCTTTATTGGCCAATCAAAGGTTATGAATTAGTTGAATAAATGACCAAGAATGTCTTTGATTCATAAGGTGTTAGTGTGAAGATACTTTGCAAGAGGGGATCGATTCTTACAGCGAGAAGCGGTTAAAAGTGATATATAAATCCTTAAAGTAAACAGCTAAGTCAACACTTAAAAGTGATTTGTGAAACAAGAAAGACGCTTTCATTCGAGCAGAAGAAGCTGGCAAGATGAGTTCGAAGCCCTGACAACACTTTCCAACTCCTCGGCAATCTCAAGTCTCTCGTCCGAGTTAAGGCCTTTTATGGAAAACTTTGCTCTCTTCAAATGATTTGCATTTCTTAGGATGTATTTCACCAGCTCTTTCTCCTCTTCTAGTAGTTTATTATAGCCTTTCCACACAAACGTCTGGAGATGAAGCAACAGACATTCAGGAACATTCTTAGGTTGACTCCATTTCACACCAGCTTTTTGAGACCAATATTGCTGAAGACCAATGAGGGTGAAACACAATTAATGTACATTTTGTTAGATCATTAAATCTAAAAACCTATTTGCAACAACTGTACTGAAAGATGAACTTGCAACGCTTACTTTGGTGAGCTTGAGGACTTGTAATTTAGGAGAAGCACTGAGAAAGAACATAAGTAGATTCCACCAATCATTTTTCCATGAACGTAGTTCAAAATATACGAGCCGATATAAGATGCTACCAGTACGATATGTAATCTACGTATGATCGAGAGGCATTATCATTAATAACCAGTATACAGAAAAAAGGTAATAATTGTTGGAATTAATTGAGTTTAGTCCTATAGTATTGTATGTTGCATTAAAGGTTGCTTGTAAGAGGTGTGACGGTTTGTTTAGATTGTGTTAAGACACAATTGTTTGTGTTGTTGTCTTACTATATAACCCATGTAACACGATGTAACAATTATCATTTTTCAGAACAATAAACACAATTCCTCGAAGTTCTTCTTCACAAAGAGAAGAGATAATCACTTATCTCTTACTCTGATTTTATCTTTTCTTCTTACTCTGTTTCTAAACACAATATTTCAACATGGTATCAGAGCTTTCATGGTCGTGGAACCTGTTAAAGCACAAAAATAATGAAGAGAAGTCATGTAGAATTGAAACTCAAGTAATGAACTCAAAGATTAAAGAAACTCTTCTTTATTGCTTAAGAAAACTCACTCAAAAACTTAAGCTCTCAATCTCTCAATCTCTAAGCTCATAAGTTATACCACAACTTGGTATCTCCTTATATAACCACACATATATCCTAATCCTAATGGAGAAACACTTTCTCTAATCCTAAACTCATTAGGACTCCTCAACACAACAGGATTAGGTTTAGCTTGTTACTCAAGCTTTCTTCAAGCTTACTTCAACATTTTCCCCCTTAAGCTTGAAGTCTGTCTTCTCTAGATCTTGAACTCCCATGAGATCTCTCATCTCCTTGAACTTGATTCTTCCCAATGCTTTGGTCAGGATATCCGCCTTTTGTTTTTCTCCGGGAACGTGTTCGACTTCAATTTGCTCATTCTCGACACACTCCCTTATGAAATGATACCGCGTGTGTATATGTTTGCTTCGACCGTGAAACACCGGATTCTTTGTGAGAGCTATTGCAGACTGGTTGTCAATGCGAATAACAACTCTTTCACGCGTTGTACCAGTGATTTCACCAAGCAAGTCTTGGAGCCAAATTGCTTGTCTCGCCGCTTCTGTACCTGCCATAAACTCTGCTTCACACGATGATAATGCAACTGTTTCTTGCTTCTGAGAACACCACGTGATAGGACTTTCACCAAGATAGAATATGTGGCCCGTTGTGCTCTTCCCGTCGTCTGGATCCACATTGTGGCTGCTGTCACTGTAACCTATCAACCTTGGTACCTTTGAAGTAGATCTCTCAAAGGTTAGTCCCAGAGTGGTTGTGCCTTGTAGATACCTTAAACATTGTTTCATGGCAACACCATGAGACTCTTTGGGATTCTGCATGTATCTACTCAACACGCCCACGCTGTAACACAAGATTCGGTCTTGTGTGAAGTAAATATCGTAGGCAGCCAACATTCTTTCTGAACAGGGTGGCGTCAATATCTTCTCTTCTCCGGCCTTGGACAACTTCAGTCCAGACTCCATTGGTGTGTGAACAGGATTACTGTTCTCCATTCCAGCTTCCTCTAAGATCTTCAACGCATAACGCTTCTGGTTAAGCATTATTCCACCATCGTGTTGTTTCACCTCCATTCCGAGGTAGTATGTTAACTTCCCGAGGTCACTCATGTCAAACTTGGTGGCCATCTCGTCTTTGAACTCATCAATGATCCTTCTGTTAGTTCCTGTAACGAACAAGTCATCAACATACACGGCGATAAGGAGGAGACTATCACCAATAGCCTTGCGATAAACCGATGGTTCCTTTGAGCACTTAACAAACTTAAGTTCCATGAGAATCTGATTCAACTTATTGTTCCACGCCCTTGGTGCCTGCCTCAGACCGTATAGTGCCTTATGGAGCTTATAGACTTTGTTCTCACTCCCTTTTACTTCAAAACCCTCTGGCTGCGAGACATAGACGATTTCTTTTAACTCTCCATGGAGAAAAGCTGTCTTGACATCAAGATGATGTATCTCCCATCCTCTTGATGCAGCAAGACCAATTAGAAACCGTATTGTTTCGAGCCGAGCTACTGGTGCAAACACTTCCTCAAAGTCTATTCCATAACGTTGAACATATCCCTTGGCAACAAGCCTAGCTTTGTGTTTGTTAATGCTTCCATCAGAGTTCCTCTTGAGCTTGAACACCCACTTCAATCCAATTGCCTTAGCACCATGCGGTAACTCCATAAGAGTCCACGTATTGTTTTTCTCGATCGAACGGATCTCATCTTCACACGCGAGCATCCATTCCCAACCTCTTGCTTCATAGAAAGTTATTTGGCTCATTGTTCAAGCACAAAAGTAACCTTTCTCCTTCTTCGATCGCAAGTAGCACATAATCTTCAAGATACTTCGGTGTAAACTTTTCTCTTGTCGATCTTCTCAGTTCTACTTCAGGACTCTCCTGTGTCTCTGTATCCTCTGTTCCATCTCTTTTGCTCTCTGCGATATTGTAGCTAGGGCTATTCTCAACTTGTTTCGTCATTAGAACCTCCAATCATCTTAGTTTCACCATTGAATCTCTCGATTCCATCATTCTCCCATATCTCTTGAATCCCGCGATTTCCAAACTCACCAAATATCACTTTAAACTCTTTGTTATCTCCCTGAGCCGAGTTACTATGACTCCAGTTCCATCCTTTTGATTCATCAAACACCACATCTCGACTTACTATTATCTTTCTTCCTTGTGGCTCAAGTAGTCGGATAAGCTTTGGACCCTGGTTCGGTTCCTAAATGCACAAGGACACGCGATCTGTCGTCTAGCTTCTTGAGTTGAGGCTTCTCCACCTTTGCATAACCAATACACCCGAAAATTCGTATGATGATCGAATTGGCTTCTTTCCTCTGAACATCTCATATGGAGTACATCTTTAAGTGTCCTCGTGGCTATTCGGTTTAAGAGATATTGAATGTCGTACTGCTTCTCCCCAGAGATAGTTTGGTACATGCATGTGCTTCATTATACTCCTTGTCATCTCCATCAGAGTCCTATTTCGCCTTTCAACAACGCCGTTTTGTTGAGGAGTATAAGGAGCGGTAAGATGCCTCTTTATACCTGAAGTTTCACAGAACCGAGTAAACTCATGTGATAAGAACTCTCCACCTCTATCTGTCCTGAAGGTCTGAATCCTTGTTCCTGCTTCTTGCTCCACCAAGTTCTTGAAGTTTTTAAACTTTGTAAAAGCTTCACTCTTCTCTTGCATCAGAACTGTCCACATGTACCTGGAGTAGTCGTCTATGAGAACGAATATGTATCGGTTTCCAGCAGCTGTACTTGGAGTTATTGGCCCGCAGAGATCTCCATGAACTAGTTCAAGCTTCTTGCTTGCTCTAAAGGAAGAAGCTTGTGGAAACACTTGCCTTGTCTGCTTCCCAAGTAGACATGCTCCACATATCTTCTTTTCGATATTCACTCTTGGGATTCCTCGTACAACTCCTTTGTCTATCATCGTCTTCAGGTTCTCAAAGTTTAGATGGCCCAACCTCGCATGCCATCTACTAGACTCGCTTGTTTCTGTTAGGTACAGTTGTGCTGTCTCTCTTATTCTCATGTGGACTTTGTATAGCCGATTCTTTGCTCTGTTTGCCTTTGCAGTAGCTTCCATCACGATCATGCATAGTCAAACATCTCCTTGCATTCTTATATCGCACCCTGATTCTGTAGCTTGACCAAGGCTAATGATGTTACTTTTCAAGTCAGGGATGAAGTAGACATTGTCATCATTCTTGGTTCTCCATTCATGTCAAAGAATGAGATTGTTCCCTTTCCCTTGATGTCTATTCTGGAATCATCTCCAAACCGTACTTTCCCGGTAACAGAGTTGTCCATACTTGAAAAGTATCGTCGATCTCCAGTCATATGATTGCTAGCCCCATTGTCAAGATACCATATATTCTCCTCTCCAGTGTTGGCTTCAAACTTGCTTGGTATACAGTTTTTCTCGTTTAAGTATACCACCTCGTGCATCATAAGCTTATCAGCCTCCTTTGTATCACTAGTATCTTCTTCAGCTTCTTGGAGTTTTAGCAATCTGTCTGGACAATCAATCGCATAGTGTCCGAGCTTGTCACACCTAAAACACTCAACGTTTGACGTGTCCCTCTCTTTGTCTCCGTTTGAGCGACCGCCACGACCACCGCGACCTCTTCCTCTTCCGAACCGTCCTCCACGACCTCTGCCTCTATTACTCTCGCTGTAGTTATATTTTTGACTCGATTGATTCCCTTGACCCTCCATATACATCAATTTGCTTTGATCATCTTGAACCTCATCTTCATCACGGACTCGCTCTTCAAACGCTTTCAAGCGTCCCATGATGTCTTGAAAGCTTGTTTTGTTTAGATCTAGCAGCTGTTCAAGAGATGCTACAATATGTATAAACTTCGCTCTAGGGAGGCTCTTCAGGAACTTCTTGACTAACTTTGGCTCTTCGATGCTTTCTCCTAAAGCAGATGCTTTCGATGCGATCTCAGCTAGTTTTCCACCAAAGTCGTCAATCGTGTCAGTTTCCTTCATTCTTATGCGCTCGAATTCTGACATCAGCGTTTGTAATCTTGCTTCCTTAACCCTATCTGCTCCCATGTTCCTTCCCTTAATCGCTTCCCATACTTTTTTAGCTGATTTTAGTTCACCGACTTGTAAGACAAGCGCTTCTGGTATTGATTGGAAAAGTAACGCTAGAGCCATGTTGTTCTTCTTCTTGTTGCTCGACTCTGCCTCATCTTCATCTTCAATGACATCCCAGACTTCATGGACTGCCAGCGCTACTCTCATTCTCATAGCCCATACGGTATAGTTTGTGGAAGTGAGCATAGGGCATTGGATCGATGTAAGGCTTCCTCCTTCTATCGGTTTTGCTTCAACGATCGCGAGATCGTCTCCAGCCATGTCGCTTCTTATGATCTTCACGACTCAAGCTCTGATACCAATTGTAGAATTGAAACTCAAGTAATGAACTCAAAGATTAAAGAAACTCTTCTTTATTGCTTAAGAAAACTCACTCAAAAACTTAAGCTCTCAATCTCTCAATCTCTAAGCTCATAAGTTATACCACAACTTGGTATCTCCTTATATAGCCACACACATATCCTAATCCTAATGGAGAAACACTTTCTCTAATCCTAAACTCATTAGGACTCCTCAATACAATAGGATTAGGTTTAACTTGTTACTCAAGCTTTCTTCAAGCTTATCTCAACAAGTCCGCTGCCAAAAGAAGAGAAAAGATGGAGACTCAACCGAAGAAAAGAAGAAGAAGAAGAAGAATCGAAAATGAAGAGGTGCCAAGAGAGAGAGCATCGTGAACCTTCACAAACATATCCACATGCCGTAACTCAGGAGGAAGGCTCCGATAGAGATGGAGGAGATAAGAAATCTTCTCAAATGGCAATGGAGAAAACGGATGTGGAATCGGAGTTGTGGAAGAATTCTGAAACTTGATGGAGAAGCCACCTGTTGAGAGAAACAGAGCAAGGCATGGAACGGTTACACAGATAACCGAAGAAGACGTGGAGGAGATCTGCGCATGAGAACCGGTTACACAGATAACCGAAGAAGACATGGAGAGAGTTCCATGCGGGAGACGTCAAGGACGTTCATGGTGATCAAAGGAAGACACCGAAGCAACAAAGAGGATGCTTACCTCTATGAATAAAAAATGGAGCAGAGAAGACGTGATAACGATTCACGCATGAGACGTCAAACGAGACGTTGATGGGGATCCAAGGAAGACACCAAAAGAGGATGCTTACCTCTATGAATAAAAATGGAGCACAAGTTGGTTGAAGAATTAACCAAAGAAGACGTGGAGAGAGGATTCACGCACGGAACGTCAAGGACGTTGATGGTGATAAAAGGAAGTCACCAAGCAGGAGGCTGCTTACTTGAATGAAAAAGGAGCAGAAAAGGGTTACATTGTTAATCAAAGAAGATATGAAGAAGATTCACGCAGGAAGCGTGAGAAGAGCGCACGAGGGATCAAGGAGAAGCCTCTCGGGTAAAAGAAAGGCAATGGAGTGAAGGTGAAGCATCAATCCAGAGGGAGTGTCATCCGATCAAGAGGGAGACAGAAAAGACAAGCTCACTAGTGTACCATGCCGTCATCGTTAAAGGGATTTGATCAAAGAAGATGCAAATCACCATAAGCGAAGAGAAGAGAGGCGGTTAAAATCTCTATATTGAAATTAGGGATTTAATTATAGTCCAAGGAACAAAGTAAGAAGCGTGGAACAAGACCAAAACTCAATTAAGAGGGAGTGTTGGAATTAATTGAGTTTAGTCCTATAGTATTGTATGTTGCATCAAAGGTTGCTTGTAAGAGGTGTGACGGTTTGTTTAGATTGTGTTAAGACACAACTGTTTGTGTTGTTGTCTTACTATATAACCCATGTAACACGATGTAACAATTATCATTTTTCAGATCAATAAACACAATTCCTCGAAGTTCTTCTTCACAAAGAGAAGAGATAATCACTTATCTCTTACTCTGATTTTATCTTTTCTTCTTACTCTGTTTCTAAACACAATATTTCAACAATAATAAGTAACCAATCAATTAATTGCAAGCAAAGCGTACCGGACCGAACTGTGACAAGCAAAGGCGTTTGACTGAAGTGAGGGATCCCAGAGTGTAATCATAGTTTTTACTAGAGATGCTAAGATAAGCCTCCTCCAGCTCAAGTGTATACCCAATCAGAATAGAATCAAAATTTATAGACCATCCAACCTCCAAGTATTTCAATGAAGGAGCCTTTATCACATAGAGCACTTCACCAGTGCTCCTAATTATTAGTCTCTGCAAGGACGGGACATCAATAGTGAATGTCTTCACACCAGACCGTGCATATAGGATCAGATCCAAATTTTCGAGATGAGAACAACCAGATAAAAGGTTGACAACTGATTCGTCGTCTTTGTATCTCACCCCTTTAAGGTGTAGAGTTCTAAGAGACTTCAAACCAACCGGAAATGGGACATCTATCACAACATCATGACTGAGTTTCAAGGTGTCTAGTGTTCCACAGTTATACAAGCTTGTAGGAAATCTGAACAACTTCCGAGAGGACACATGGAGTTTCAGTTCACGCAAATGCAGTCCAAACGCAACTCCCAATAATATTCCAATATCACAATCCATACTATTCTCATTATTATCAGAATCAATGCTGAGATCTAAACTCTGAAGAACCGGAGCCTGATGTGAAAGCAAACACCTGCAGACGTTATTTGAAAACCTCTCAAGATCATTCGTTGCATTGTAACTAAACTCAAGACTAGGCATCGTCTTCCAAAGAGAGCGCCATCGTTTGGACAAGACACTAGTGGCTACCACAACTTTTGTTGGAAGGGAAGACAATATTTGCACAAGCAAAGCCTCGGGCAACTCACTGATTCTGTCCTCGTTTCTCAAACTTTGACCACTGTGGAAAAAAAAAAACAAATATTCAACAACAGAAGAACATGCATAGAGATGTTTTGGAGCTTTAAGTTTAAGGAATAAGCAGAGATAGAAGAAACATACCCTTGTTCCATTGTCTTTGATAGAGACAAATATTGGTCAAGTATCCAAGTGAAAAAAAGGATGTTCTGGTAAATCCTTCTGATCTGTGCCTTCCCAAGTGCTATCGCATTCACAAACGCTGTTTGAATTCCCCACAAAACACTCCAAACGGGCTTCGACAGAGAGTGACTCAATTCCTGGGGCTGTCGAATCCGGCCACGTTTGGGAGGAAGAAGAAGGTAGCAAAGATCGAAATTCGACAACGGCGGTGAGGAGCTAACAAAAACAGGGTTTTGATAAAGAGGAGGAAGCGAAGGCGGAAACGGATCGTTGCGTACGACACAATTAATTAATACGCTACGACGACAGATCGGTGAGTTATCCAATACAAACCCGAAGAAAATCGAACATCATCCTTCGGTAGTTCGGTTTAATGTTTGTTACGGTTGTCAATTAATTATAGGGAATGGATTTCTTCTTCTTTTAACTCTTGCATGAACGAATATAATATAGGTAAATTTACTCTATAATATAATGGTAAAAAAAAAAGTAGTCTCTGACTGCAACGTCAAACTAGACGACGTCACCAAATCTTGACTGGTCTTTCATTTGGATCACAAGCTGGCACGAATTCGAAGCTCTAACCACACTTTCCAATTCCTTCACCACCTCTTGACCCAAGATGCTACTATCTTCATCGGGTATTGTGGAGAAAATCGCTTTCTTCAAACGGTTTGCATTTCTTATAATGTATTTCGCCACCTCTTCCTCCTCTTCTGGTAATTGTTTATAGCCTTCCCATACAAATGTCTCGAGATGTAGCAACAAACATTCAGGAACATTCTTCGGTTGACTCCATTTCACACCATCTTTTTCAAATCGCTGAAGACCAATGGGGAAGCAACAAAATGTACATATACATTAGAATTAGATCATTAAATATAAAAACCGATTTAATTTGCAAAAACTGCTGAAAGATGAACTTGCAATGCTTACACCGATGAGCTTGAGGACTTGCAATTTAGGAGAAGCATCGAGCATGAGCAGAAGTAGATTCCACCACTCGGCATTATAGGTATCTAGCTCCAGATACACGAGCCGGTAGAAGATACTTCCGATAGGAAATGTAATCTGCAGTAATATATAAATGAGGCAATATCAGTACAGAAACAAATAATGTAACAACAACATGTCACTGCAAGAAAATCTTTACCTCCAAGGGTGACAAATCCAAGCAAAGACGTTCGACTGAAGTGAGAGATCCTAGAATGTTCTCGTTAATTATATTAGAGACATTCATAATTTTGGCCTCCACCAGCTCCGGTGCATTCTCGATCAGACAAAACTTATGAGAGTCAAACCCCTCAATCTCCAAGTATTTCAAACAAGGAGCATTTATCACATATCCCCCAATCTCTTGTCCCTCGTGGTAATCATAAATAGTTAGTCTCTGTAACGACGGAACTGCGATAGTGAAAGTCTCCACATTCAGTTGAGTTCCTCGATCCACTTTTAAATTTTCAAGCTTAGGGCAGCCAGATAAAAGGTTAACAACCGATACCTCGTCTTCGAAGTCGACGTAAAGATCGAGCGTTTTAAGATACTTGAGACACGCCTGAGAAGGGACATGTACAAGGACCCAAGTCTGGAGTGTCAAAGTCTCTAGCGTTTCGCAGTTATACAGGCTTGGAGGAAATTTGAAGGACGACCCTTTGTCAGAGTAAACATCGAGTACAAGCTCACGCACTTGGCGTGCGTATGCGATTCCAATCCACATTCCAATCTCCGCAGCATCAATATAGTCTGGATTAAAATTGATATGCAAACTCTCTAAAACCGGAGCTTTGTGGGAAAGCAAAACCCTACAGACAATCCTTGAAAATGTCTCGTGCTTACTCCGATTGCTTTTATAATCAAACTTGAGTTTAGGCACCATTTTCCAAACAGACCTCCATTGCTTAGACAGAACAGTAGTGGCTACGACATCTTTAGTTGGAAGTAAAGACAATATATGCAGAATGAGAGCTTCAGGCAAGTGACTGATCCTGTCCTCGGTATTCACAAGACCTCCATTTCTCAGACTTTCAAACACCCAAACAAAAAAGAAGAAATCAAAAATCAGAAGAACATAATATAAGTTGGGTTATGGAGCTTGCACATTTAAGAAAACCCATAGAAAGGTTCATAAAAGGGATAAAGAGGGAAATGAAAATACACATAAGAAACATACCATCGTTTCATTGTGTTTTGACAGAGAACAATTGAAGTGCAAAGATCTCTGATTTATGCCTTTCCCGAGTGAAAGAAAAAACCCCTCTCAACGCAGACGCGACCAATCGCTCAGAAGGCTAGCTCTTGGTTAGAGAAAGATCTAATCCCTCATGCGGCCGCTTTCACTGGTGGAAATGTATTGTTAATAAGCACTGGTCGAAATCGGCGACGGTAGAGAGAAAGAACGGTATTGTTCGGTGGATGTTAGGGTTTCGGAGATGTAGGAATAGTGTGTATAATACGAGAAATTTTGGAAAAATCAGTTTTTATTTTTGAAAAATACCCTAGTTTTTTTTAGTTTTGAAAACTACACTATTTAATGTCTAAATTATCCTAGTTTGAAATTTCTAACTAATCTAATTAAAACGAAAATTAAATAAGGGAAAATTACTTAATCTAGCACTAATTCAACGGTTTATTACTCCCTCTGTTCCTTATTACTTGATGTTTTAGAGTTTTCACATAGATTAGGAAACAATAAATGCTTACCTTTTGATGTATTACTTTTTCATTTTAAATAAATTCTCTTAAAGTTTGTATTTTTGTAATATTTATTATCAAAAAGTACATTTAATGGTCTAAAACATCAAATAATAAGGAACACTAACAAAATCTAAAACATCAAATATTAAGGAACAGAGAGAGTACTAGATTAGCCTCCATAAAAAACCATTTACTAGAATAGCACATATTTAATGTTAAAAGTCGGTAAACCCATTAAAATGCCTAATATTTACATATATGCCATTTTGTTTTAACATATCATTTAAATTAAAAGTCAACTTATTTTACATTTATTTTGTAATAAACTTTCCATATATGATATAAAAATATCAAAGCCCTACAGCGGTCACTGGCATTTTTAGGAGATATCCTGCCGTCGGAAGGAGCTGACGTTGTCTCGCAAGCCGACGAAGTCACAAATCCCCTCGGTGCATTCATGGTCTTTGATTCAGGAAAATCGCAGCCGTCCCTTATTAATGGCCTTCTCCATCTTTCGTTATTTTCCAGCACACACTTTGCATTCATCGCCTCCTTCTCGTCTTTTTCTTCTCAAGTTTTATGGAGGCATCTGGATTCTCTTCTCCTTCTTCGTTCTGTTTTCGAGTATTAATTATTTCTATAAAAGTTTTGTTATGGAAAAGTGAATTGTTATGCATATATTGGGAAACTGAATTGTTAGACTTTGTGAAATGATTGATGGTTGAATTTCTTTTTTTGAATTTAACAGGTATGTATCATTCAAAGGTGACAAATTTAAAATTGTTGATAGAATTAGTGGAATTCTTTGAAGGATTCTTCCATTGGAATGAGTGCTAAGCTTAAAGGAGGACACATGGCGTGCCAAGGTTGTCCATTACTTGCTCACACATCTCTTGCAAACGAAGACGAATTATGAGCGAAGTATTTGTCTGTAAAATGGCCTGTTTTTAAATTGGGAGAAATATTTGTCTGTGAAATTTATACAGATAGGTCATAGTAACCATCTATTCACCTTCTGGTGTTAGCTAATTTTTTAAGTAGCTTAAGCTGAATTGATTACCTAAGTTTTTTAGCATGTAGCTTATCAAGTTTTTTTGCTGTTAATATTTTTAAAGTATAAACTACAAGTTTATGTTCTTTTTATTTTAGCTTCCGGAAGCATCTTGTTTGCTGAGATAAAGCAACCATGAAATAACGTAGGACTCAAAGCCAAAGTAAGAAAACAATGCAACAACGTAGGATTCAACGCCAAAGTAAAAAACAAAAAGAACGTGTCAGAAAAACCAAAGAAACAAATACAAAACTCGTAGCCTAGAATAAAGAAACCATGAAATGAAGAATAACAATAGATAAGTACAGCAACAATTACTTAAATAAGAGTTTTACATGTCTTACAATTACGCCCGAGTTCATGACATGAGAACATGTGTATTCTTTTTTAGGGCGCTTTTCTCCGCATGCTTTCTCTAATACTGATTTGATTCTTGAATTCTCATGTTTTCCAAGAAGTTGTTGTACTAAAGGAGGTAAGCACACCTTCTTGACGACATGCTCTGGAATGGGCAAAGCAGCACCATTTGGCATTATAGGATTTGCCATGTCAACTAATTTGTAACTACGTCATCAAAACATTACATATTACTTTTAACTCTGTTTATCTGTCATAACATTGTTCCATAAGTCTGTTAGTTCAAAAAGTCTGCTATAAGGATTTATGTGAATAAGGCTGTCATCAAAGAAAACAAACGGTTAAAGAAATAAAAAGTCTGTCAAAACGTAAAATAAATCTGCTAATACATTGATGCTTATCTAGTAATTAAGTTTTGAAGAGAAATAAGTCTATCAATGGTGACAGACCAATACAAATTTAGACTAAACCTGTGATCATTAGAGACAACAAAATATAAATCTGTTGTGACTAAGGCTGTCGTACATAATAAGTCTGTAGTTTTAATCTGTCACTGGAAATCAAGTCTGTCAAGAAATAAATAAATCTGAGGTCAAACACAATAAGTCTATGTAATAAATCGGGTAAAGTTCGTAAACTGTTGATTCATGAAATAGACTTATGGCACAAGTCTGTCATTTGAAATAAATCTATGAGACAAAATAAAACTGTTGTTACATGTGACAGATTTAAGGATATAAATATGTAGCTATAGATAAGTCTGTGAAAGTTACAATAAGTCTGTGAAAAAAATCTGTCATAGAAAATAAATCTGTTTATCGATTTAAGTCTGTCATTATTAGTCTCACAGTTTTAAATTTAATTGACAGACTTTTCGAGTACAATGGCAATTATGTAATTATTGCGCAATTTTTTGCTGGCGTGGAAAATAATAATAATGGCATTTTTGTAATTAAATTTTTGATAACAAAGGTTTTAAGGGTAATTTATGTATGAAAATTTAATCAGTAATTAAAATAAAATAAGAGCTAATCTAGTAATAAATCTATGAATCTATGCTAAATAAGTAATCTTCCTTTTTTTTTCCCTTCTTCTTTATAGCCTATACGTTTCCTTTGGTGATTTCCTTTGATCACCATCACGTCTTTGTGAGGTCTATTGCATGAATCTTCTTCACGTCTTCTTCGGTTATGGTGTAAAGTTTCTGCATCTTTTACACAATATACAAAATGTTTAATTGTCCATGACATAAAAGTATAGTAAACAAAAGCATTTATTCATAATGATCATCTTGTATTTATTGGAAATTATATTTAATACAGTAGGTATAAGAAGAAGCTCCTTTATTTAATATTTTTTTTATTATGGAGCAAGTAGAAAGAGGAGACATCAAGATGATCTTGATGTGGTTTTGGGTCTAAATCTCATGCATCTGCGAGCTTCTGATTCTTCTCGAAGTAGAGGCTTGAGCGGAGGAGATCTTGCTTCACAGGGTTCTTGCCAGCCTTTAGGAACCTCTGGTACCATAGGCCAGATTGTTTGAGGTCTCTGTCACCAGTAACATTTTTGAAATCAACGTAACTGAGTCCGAATCTGACGGTAAAGCCATTGCAGAATTCATAATTATCCCCAAGAGACCATGCAAAGTATCCTTTCACCCTCACTTTAAACTCGCTAAAACAAAAAACAGGAGCAACAATCACTTATTAAATTAAAAAAAGGCATGAGACTGATGATATTTTATATACAAAAAAGAAAAGAAAAGACGAGTATGAAGCATCCACTCACTCGATGGCCTTGCGGAGAAAACATAGATGACTGCAAAGATAATCAATCCTGGGGTAATCGGCCATACTCTCGTTAAAGGGTGTGTCACCTCCGGTGGAACTAACTCCTAATAAAACCATCATAACATGAACAATTCAAAAATATTTGAGTCATCATGGTTTCTTGGAAAAATTACGTACTTAACATGTATAGCTAGACCTAGATGAAAGAGATGAGTAGTAAGTAGAACTCACCGTTCTCGGTGACATAGATTAAAGGGTCACCGTATCTTTCTTTGAAGTACTTCATTACTTCTAACATGCCTCTTGGATAGTAATAGCCTCCTCCTGCACCGAACTGAGAAAGGGAACCGAAAGAATTATCCGTGTTATATATGTTGCTTACATTCAATTCAATTCAAAAACAAAAACAAAAATGAATTAAATAAAAAACTATGCATACCGGTGGACCAGGGGGAATTTTACTTATATTAGTACCTATAAACACAAAAGAGAGGATCAAATTTAATTGATGGTCACAAAAGGATCAAACGCAGAAGAACTAAGAGGATATAGAGTTGTCCGTACTTGTGAGCTTTGCACGTGAGTCCGTCATGGCAGTAAGTCTTTCCGGAGGAGCTTGGTCAGCTTTTTGGGCGTATTGAGTGACGTAATAGTTGAGACCAAGAAAATCATATGAACCCTTTACGAGTCTGGCTTCTGCTTCCGTGAAGTTGGGAAGTCGACTACCCACATATTGCCTCATGATGTCTGGGTATCTACCTTTTGTTAGTGGCTCCATGTACCTGATATATTATGTACATAATACATATTTCTCGTTACACATAGTAATAGTAATGTTAAAAAAAATATATATATATATGTTTCATTATTCTGGATAAAAAATATATATACCATCCGAAGAAGAATTCTTTGCTTCTCCAAACTGCATCTTTGCTCGCTTGAGTGTCATCATATGGTAGAAACCATCTAGTTATCATCACTGGTCCAATCTTCCCTCCTTGGTACTGCATGTGGCCACACAATGATATATATTGGTTAAATTAATTAGAGTCACACAATGCATGCATATATGTTAGATTACAATTAACTTAATTATTACCTTGTAGTTTCTCCTGTACACATCGACGGCGGCGGCATGAGCAAGAAGCTGGTGATGTGCAACGAGGTAGGGCTCTGTTGCGGAATCTCCGCCGGGACATGTTTCACTAACCCATTTAGAACATCGACCTGGTGCATCTGTTCCCAATGCATACCCTCTCGTAGGCACCGTGAAGAGCTGGTTGATCGTGATCCAGTTCTTTACCCTATCACCAAATCTCTCGAAACATAGATCCGCGTACTCCTTGAAATCCTCTCTGTGCGTGCATATATATATTATATTATTATAGAATCCAAGAACAAAATCTTTATATATATATATGTATATGTTCTCATCTTATGATTTCTTGATATGCAAGCAACAACTTACATGATCTCTCGGCTTAAGAACCCTTCATACTCATCTTGCAGACACTGAGGAAGGTCCCAGTGGTAGATGGTAACGAAAGGCGTTATGCCCTTCTCGAGGAGTGCATCTATGAGATCGCTGTAGTATTTAATACCATCTTCGTTCACTCCCCTACTCCTCTTTCCTCCTGCTCATATATATATATGTTGTTCGTTTATTTTATTCTTTCAAACAATTCACACTCGGATATACATATGGATCTTAAGAATGTTTACATACTTGGAAGGATTCTTGACCACGCAAATGAGAATCTGTAGCCTTTAACTCCGAGTTCGGCCATCACATCTACATCTTTCTGCCAAGTCCGATACGCGTCACAGGTAGTGTCTCCATTCCCCAAATCGGCTCCTCCTTTCTCTGATAGCATACAAAGAACATTAATATGTAGTCATTGATATATATAGAGACATACAACCGACACTCCTCTTATATATATAAGCCTATATAGCCTTCCAAGTTAGCAACCATGCATGCATGCGAACGACAAACCTGGGAATCGGTGAGTGAAGCCATCCCAAACGTTAAGACCGCGACCTCTACCTCCTTCGATCTGAAACGAAAAGAGACAACCATGCAACGTTGGATTTTTGTGTTTTTGAATGGTTTTATGCGTCAAACATTGGGAAATTTAAGTGGCGACACAGTGTGTGATCTGTTTACATGCCTGATAAGCAGAAGATGCAACACCGAAGATGAAGTCATCAGCGAAATTTCCACTGTTCAAACGAGCAGTTTGGTTACACTTGAATGGCGGATTAGTCTCTTCGCAGATAATCTCACCTTTGCAGTTCGCCACAGCTAATAGAAAAACCAAGGTGAGCCCTAGAAGCTTCATGGTTAATCTATTGATGTTTTTGTTTGTGTTTGTGTTGTATGTAACATTGTTGCTAATCTAGTGTTTATATAGCCTTTGTAAAGAAGAGTGACGTGTGCATTTTCTTGCGATTTTGGGATCGGAGAGGTTTAGGTGAGATGAATCCCGTGTGGCTTCACCTTCTCTAGCTTAATGTTCACCGATACGTTGGTTATACTTTCTTGTTAATTTCTTCCCACTTTTTTGCTTTTTCACCCTTTTTTTCTCAGTTGTAAATGGTTTGATTACCATCATTTTATGTGCTTTTTTGGAGTTAATCTTGTAATTAGATAGCATAAAATTAAAAATCTGAAAGTTGCTATCTTGCTTCCTTGGAAAAAGAAATTTATTGTCATTTTCTTATTATCAAATATCAAGTGTAAAAACTTTCAATTTATATAGCGATTGCACATGTGTTACTTGTCCGGTAATGTGCAATGGTCATATACAATGCAAAACTAGAAAGACATTTAAGCATGCAACAAGATTCCTTGTAATAGATGATGTTCAAAGCCTCTTCAAATGTATTTGGCGAGAGAATTAACGCAATAGAGTTATTGAAAAAGTATGATCAAGTGTGGGTTTTGGGTTCTCAAGTATGATCAAGTGTTCAATATAGAGTGACAATGCCTTGGTTAAGACAAACAAAAAAATTACATTGATCATAGGCTACACTTATTACGAATCACGATTCACGAGCCTCACGGCTCACATTCACCGCTTGGTGCTTTTTCACAGGAAACCAGAGTCTCTCTTTTTCTCTCAAAAAGACAAAAGAAAACAAAAACTCTTTTTGTTTCATTAAATAAAAAATGTTATTAGGTCCGAGCAGATAGAGTTGTCAAAATGCACAAGAGCCCTATGGGTTGTTGGTCCGAGTCGACTTTATGAACAGTCAATTTTATGATCGAAAATCAGTTTTTTTTTTTTTTTTTGGTTTATGGATAGTCCATTTTCATGGTTGTTTATTGTATTGATAGATTTGATAGACTTGAACAATAAATGTCTACGATATGAATGGAGATTGCCCGACCGGGCCAAACAGAGATGGTTGTTGATAGCTCTTAATTGAGTTATATGAGAAGAAATGTTAGAATTTACATATATATTAGATCATTAAACCGATTTGCAAAAACTGCTGAAAGATGAACTTGAAATGCTTACACCGATGAGCTTGAGGACTTGTAAATTGTAATTTAGGAGAAGCATCGAGCATGAGCACAAGTAGATTCCACCGCTTGGCTTTATGTGCATGTAGCTCTAGATATAACAACTGATTGAAGATAATACCCGTAGGAAATAATCTGCATTTATATATAAATGAGGCAATATCTATATCAGTACAGAAACAAAACAAAACAAAAGTGTAATAACAACAAGTTACTGCAAGAAAACCTTTACCTCCAAGGGTGACAAATCCAAGAAAAGCCGTCTGGATTGAAATTGATATGCAAACTCTCTAAAACCGGAGCTTTGTGGGAAAGCAAAAGCCTACAGACAATCCTTAAATTGTCTCGTGCTTACTCTTATTGCTTGAATATGAAAAGATGATCTCAATCTGGTTACAAAACTTTTGTCCTTGAGTGTTACAGAGGATCTATTGGCATTTTCGTGCAAGAATGTTTGGATTTTGTCATGTTAAAAAGCTCTGTTACAACAGGTTTCTTCTTCCTCTCTTGGATGGCTTTTCTTGAGCAGAAAAATGTTGTTCCAAAAGACCAAAACAACAAATTCCTTTTACTTGTTTTACAGTACTTGTTGAATCAAAAATGTACACAACAATGGCAAAAGAGCATGCCCTGTGGTAATAGAGGAGAAGAAGAGAAGGGACGGCAATTCTCGGATTTCAATCTTGCGAACGGATAAGCGGTTTGGTCACTGATATCTCACACATTAATGGTGGTCTTCTCAGGGTTTTCTATTATGTGGTTAACGTGAGAAAGAAGAAGCCGATTGGTTTGATCTCTTGAATCAAAATAAGTAAAATGTAAAGTCTAATGAACTACAGTTTCCTATATAAAGATGTAATTTTTCCTATTAAACCAGAAAAAGAATTGTATATGTTGACAAAAATATTTAAAATATTTGTAGTAAGTTGACAAAAAAAAAATATTCTTAACATGAAAAGTACTACATTGTAACAATAGAAAAAAGGGAAATCTTATTTCATTGAAAGCTATATAAATATAAGTGAATGAGCTTAATTTTTCAATCTAAATATTCATATTAGCTATCATCATCTTTCACACTTTAAAAAAGATGAATCAAGGGTTGGATTTAAATTTGAGGTTATCTCAGTATGATCCATGGGTTATAAAAAAGAAGTTAACCGATTCTGATACTTCGACTTTTGGTAAACTTTCTCTATCGCAAGTAGGAATGGCTTCTATAACTCGGCAGATGAGACAGTCTATGGTCGAGCAGATGGAAACAACAGAAGGTGTTGAAGTGAAGGTCCATGTTATAGAGGAAGGTCATCAAGCTGATGACTACACATGGAACTTAGTTAAACTCTGGGACGGCAGATACTTTTTGAAGGGAGGATGGGGCGTTTTTGCTAGAGATAATGGTTACCAAACAGGCGACGAAATTGGACTCATGTGGGATCAAAGTTATGAGAGGTTTTTGCTCCACAAGATAGTCCAATATTAGTCGTCTTCTCAATTACCAAAGAATTTTTCTATTATTTATTTAAAGGGTTTTATTTTAGTACTGTTTTTTTTTTTTAACTTTAATATGAGTTTTATGAGTCTTTAAAATATTGATTATTATTTTTTACTTTTAAGTTTTGATCTTTTATTTCATCAGAAACTCTTGTATTTTTAAGAGATAATAATAATGTTGATGCTAGTCATGCCACTTGTGTTCAATTTAATTACTTGTTCTTTAATTTCCTCTAAATTACGTATTAACTTAGCCAATAATGAAAATAGTCATGGTACTCGAGTGATTTAGAAACTCATGGACCTCTCTATAAGCTAGTAACTGTTGATTATTGCTAAACGGGACTAACTTACTAAGGGATCCAACGAATCGAAATTATTAATAAAATCGAACTGAAATAAAGAGAAGTGGGACACAATAGAAAACAGGGGTAGTAGTATATCAGGACCCTTCTATGCAGCAACCTGAACAAATTATCAAGTGATGAAGAATATACCTCAAAGATGGGATATACATATAATATCTCCCTTAAGACTAACTAAGGTGATTGTCTCTCTTACTTGTGCAGCACAGCTCTTGCGTCTAACCACATGATCCATTAGATGCGTCTAACCACATGATCCATTAGATGCTTCCCAGCAGCACAGCCTTTGCGTCTAACCAAATGATAAGTAAATGTGCATCATCGTCATCATCGTCCCAGTCTTCATCCATTAGCACAGAGTTTCTGCTGGCCACATTTGCTTGGTCAATACAAAGGGAAGACTTACGCTGATGCTTCCCACCTTTACCCATGGCTAACGAAGAAGATGCCATATTCACCATAACAGGGATCCTGATTGGATGCACAGAGAACCACTCCCGCAAGCCTGTGATGAACATGAGCTTATGAATTAGAATGGCAGACGCACAAGGTGCGGTTTCAAGAAGAGCACAAGTCATTTCCCACAATTAAAGATTATAGCTTCTTCTCCAAGTAAACCCTTCTTCTCTTATTCTGTAACAAAAACCCTATATTTTGACTTCAAATCTTGATGAAAAAGCTACTACATTTTTGTATCTGCGTTATGGTTATATGAATCAAATCGAGATCTAGTGATAAGAGAATTTCACTTAGAGTTATTCTTATGCGTGGTGAGATGATCTTAGGAGTTGTACACTATACGTCTTCAATCAAATTTGTATTAGGGTTTATGAGATCTGATATTTTTGCTTTAAAGTGTAGATGGAAACTTAAGAATCTGATCTAAGTCTACTGTAAAATAAAATTTAAAGTTTGACTCTCTGCAGTGACTCTTGGTCGGTTTTCTTCAGAAGGTTTCACCAAAAAAGTGTGATGTCGGGAGACATCATCAAGCCATCATCTCCAACTCCAAACCATTTAAACAACTTCAAACTCTCTCTTCTAGAACAGCTCGGTCCAACGATCTTCGGTCCTATGATTCTATGAAGGACGACTCTTTGTCAGAGTAAACATCGAGTAGCAGCTCACGCACTTGGCGTGCGTATGCGATTCCAATCCACATTCCAATCTCCGCAGCATCGATATAGTCTGGATTGAAATTGATATGCAAACTCTCTTAAACCGGAGCTTTGTGGGAAAGCAAAAGCCTGTAAATAATCTCTGATTTCAACATACAACATAGTTTCTATTTTCTGTGCCTTGGAACACAAGCTGGTATGAATTCGAAGCTCTAACCACACTTTCCAATTCCTTCACCATCTCTTGATTGAATACGCTCTCTTCATATGGATTTGTGGAGAAACTCGCTTTCTTCAAACGATGTATTTCGCCACCTCTTTCTTAGGATGTATTTCGCCACCTCTTTCTCCTGTTTCAAACGTTGCTTATAAGCTTTCCACACAAACGTCTCGAGATGAAGCAACAAACATTCAGGAACATTCTCCGGTTGACTCCATTTCCCAGACGACACACCATTACCTTTTCCAACTTGAGACCAGTATTGCTGAAGACCAATGAGGGAGAGATACACAATGTACATTAGATCACTAAATCTATAAAAGCATTGAGCATGAGGACTTGTAATGCTTACACCGATGAGCTTGAGGACTTGTAATTTAGGAGAAGCATTGAGCATGAGCACAAGTAGATTCCACCACTCGGCTTTATGTGCACGTAGCTCCAAATACACTAACCGATAGAAGAAACTACCCGTAGGAAATGTAATCTAGATATATACATGATGAGCCAATATTAGTATAGAAACAATGTAATAACAACAAGTCAATTGCAAGAAAACGTTACCTCCAAAGGTGACAAATCCAAGGAAAGACGTATGACTGAAATGAGTGATCCCAAAATGTTTTCTTCGATTATTTTAGAGACATTAGCAATATTTGCCTCCACCAACTTCGGTTCATTCTCAAACAGACAAAACTCAAGCGCCTTAAACCCTTCAATGTTCAAGTATTCCAAAGAAGGAGCATCTATGGCATAGCCCCCAAACTCTTTCCAATCATTCTCATCTTGAATCGTTAGTCTCTTTAAAGATGGAGCTGCGATTGAGAAAATCTCCACATCCGGTTGATCTCGAAACACTACCAACTCTTCAAGATTAGGGCAACCGGATAAAAGGTTACGAACCGATGCCATGTCTTTGTAGTCCACAGAGTATAGATGCAGCGTTTTAAGTGACTTGAGACAAGCCTGAGAAGGGACATCTACAAGGATCCAAGCGCCGAGTATCAAGGTCTCCAGCGTTTCGCAGTTATACAAGCTTCTAGGAAACTTGAACGACTCTGTTTTAGATTCAACATTGAGTGACAGCTTACGCAAATGGTGTGCGTATGCGATTCCAGTCCACATTCCAATATCCATAGCATCACAGCCGTCTAGTCTAAAATTAATATGCAGAGTCTCTAGAAAGGGAGCTTTGTGGTAAAGAAGAAGCCTGCAAACAATCTCTGAAAATGTCTCCTGTTCACTCTCATCGCTGTAATGATCAAAATAGAGACTAGGCACCGTTTTCCAAAGAGACCTCCATTGTTTAGACAAAACACTAGTGGCTACGACATCTTTAGTTGTAGGTAATGATAATATATGCAGAATCAGAGCTTCAGGCAAGTGACTGATCCTGTCCTCAGTGCTCACAAGACCTACATTTCTCAGACTTTCAAACACCCAAACAAAAAAGAAGAAATCAAAAATCAGAAGAACATAATATAAGTTGGGTTATGGAGCTTGCACATTGAAGAAAACCATAGAGACATTCATAAAAGGGATAAAGAGGGAAATGAAAATACACATAAGAAACATACCATCGTTTCATTTTGTTATGACAGAGAACAATTGAAGTGCAAAGATCTTTGATTTATGCCTTTCCCGAGTGAAAGTAAAATCGTTGTTTTGAGCACTCTCAACGCAGACGTGACCAATCGCTCAGAAGGCTAGCTCTTGGTTAGAGAAAGATCTAATCCTCCTGCGGCCGCTTTCACCGGTGGAAATGTATTGTTAATCAGCACCGGTCGAAATAGGCGACGGTAGAGAGAAAGAACAGGGTTCGGTGGATGTTAGGGTTTCGGAGATGTAGGAATAGTGTGTAAAAAAATACACTTCTATTTACTTTTAGAAACTCCAACAATAGCCAATTTTTTTAAAAAAATAATATTCATATGCATTTGAGGCTTTAGCTAGAGATTCCAATGTATTAGCGTTGTGCTCAAAGAAAAATATTGTTTCTCAGTGCATAAATTAGTGTTGTGCTAAAAGAAAACGTATGCGGCTTCAAGCACTATTAGGCTAATCAAAATCCATATCTGGTTTCACAGAAAGAGTAGATTAATCATGAAATTGGCTTTTCTAACTTGATTTTTGTGGAAGAGATTTCTTGCAAAAGAAGTAAGAGAACCACGCTATATCAACTTGGAAACAAGCATGTTTACCACCTTAAACTCTGAGCTAAATCAAAAATCTTAGTTTACAAAAAGTTTGATCAGAAATTTTTATTGCCTCTCTGTTTTTACCATTCCTATTGGTCACCCATATGTTTTGCCATCCATCAAGTCGTTTTCTGAAATAATTCTTCAAAATGGCAACAAGCTACGGCTAGATTAGAAAAGACCAAAAAAAAAAAAACCACAAACCCAAGATTGTATCACCTTGACAAATACCTAAACATCATAACTTTGAACCACTTAAACACAGCGCCATACTTATAAGTTGTAACTGAAGCCAAATTAAAATGTCACAAACCGAGTGAAGGTAATAATAACTGTAAGACTCGTCGTGGTACATGTGATCACCAGTTTCATTTGAACACAAGCTGGCATGAACTCGAAGCCCTCACCATATTTTCTAACTCTCCAACACTTCCCATCAGGCTGATAAAAGTTGCCCTTTTCAAATGACTTGCGTTCCTGAAGATGTATCTGGCCACCTCTTTATCCTCTTCCCGTCGGCCTCTGTAACATTCCCACACTAAATTATGGAGGTGGAGCAACAAACATTCAGGAACATTCTTCGGTTGATTCCATTTCTCACAGGCCACATCATCTTTTTCGCCGTGATTCGCCATCTCACATTCTTCGGTTGACTCCATTTCACACCATCTTTTTCAAATCGCTGAAGACCAATGGGGAAGCAACAAAATGTACATATACATTAGAATTAGATCATTAAATATAAAAACCGATTTAATTTGCAAAAACTGCTGAAAGATGAACTTGCAATGCTTACACCGATGAGCTTGAGGACTTGTAATTTAGGAGAAGCATTGAGCATGAGCACAAGTAGATTCCACCACTCGGCTTTATGTGTACTAGCTCCATATACCAACGACTAGAAGATACTACCGTAGGAAATGTAATCTGCATTTATATATATAAAATATCAGTACAGAAACAAATAATGTAACTCAATCACTGCAAGAACACTTTACCTCAAGGTGACAAATCCAAGCAAAGGCGTTTGGCTGAAGTGAGAGATCTCAATATGTTCTCGTTCATTATGTCAGAGAAACTCATAATTTTGGCATCCACCAGCTCCGGTACATTCTCAATCAGACAGAACTTATAAGATCTTAACCAGCCAATCTCCAAGTATTTTAAAGAAGGAGTATTTATACATAGCCCCCAACCTCTTGTCCCACACACGGTAATCATAAATAGTTAGTCTCTGTAAAGATGGAACTGCGATAGTGAAAGTCTCCACATCCAGTTGAGTTCCGCGATCCATTACTAAATTTTCAAGCTTAGGGCAGCCAGATAAAAGGTTAACAACCGATGCATCGTCTTCGAAGTCGACGTAAAGATCCAGCGTTTTAAGGGACTTGAGGCAAGCCTGAGAAGGGACATGTACAAGGACCCAAGTCTTGAGTGTCAAAGGTCTCTAGTGTTTCGCAGTTATACAATCTTGGAGGAAATTTGAAGGACGACCCTTTGTCAGAGTAAACATCGAGCACAAGCTCACGCACTTGGCTTGCGTATGCGATTCCAATCCACATTCCAATCTCCGCAGCATCAATATCGTCTGGACTGAAATTGATATGCAAACTCTCTAAAACCGGAGCTTTGTGGGAAAGCAAAAGCCTACAGACAATCCCTGAAAATGTCTCGTGCTTACTCCGATTGCTTTTATAATCAAACTTGAGTTTAGGCACCATTTTCCAAACAGACCTCCATTGCTTAGACAGAACACTAGTGGCTACGACATCTTTAGTTGGAAGTAAAGACAATATTTGCAGAAGCAGAGCTTCAGGCAAGTGACTGATCCTGTCCTCGGTATTCACAAGACCTTCCATTTCTCAGACTTTCAAACACCCCAAAAAAAAAAAAAAAAAAAGAGAAACCAAGAATCAGAAGAACATAAGTTGAGTTGTGGAGCTTATACAATTAAGAAAACCATAGAAAGGTTCATAAAAGGGATAAAGGGGGAAATCAAAAATACACATAAGCAGAGAAACTTACCATCGTTTCATTGTGTTTTGGCGGAGAACAATTGAAGTGCAAAGATCTCTGATTTCTGCCTTTCCCGAGTAAGAAAAACGCAGACGCGACCAATCGCTCAGAACACTAGATCTTGGGGGAGAAAGATCTAATTCCTCCAGCTGCCCGCTTTCACCGGTGGAAATGTTGCAACGAAATTAACCACCACCGGTCGAAGTCGGCGGCGGGAGAGAGAAAGACTGAAGATAGAAGAAACTGGAACGAAAAAGAACGTTAGATTTGTTCGGCGGATGTTAAGGGTTCGGAGAAGGAGGAGGAATAGCCTGAGTGCCTGACCGTGTTGTTGTACTTGAAAATTTAACTTGAAATTTTTTTTGACCTCACTGGAAAATTTAAGTGTGTAAAATACACTTCTATTCACTATCTCCAGCAATTTACTAATCACCCTTTTTAGAACAAAAATTTTAAAAGCCAAATTTTTTATTAAAAAATATTCATATCCATTCAAGGCTTTAGCTATAAATTCCAATGTACTAGACGAGAGTAGGAAAAATACTTGTTTAGGGAAAATTATTGTTTCTCAAATAACTGAATTAGTGTTGTGCTCAAAGAAAACATATGCGGAAGAGAGTCATTGGTGTAGGTGGGTATTCAAAATACATGTCTGGTTTCATAGAAAGAGTAATTAATCAAGAAATTGGCTTTTCTAACTTGATTTTTGTGGAAGAGAGTCATTGCCAAAGAAGTAGAGAACCAAGCTAAATCAACTTGGAAACAAGTATGTATACCACCTTAAACTCTCAGCTAAACAAAAAATCATGGGTCTAGTTTGGTCTGAAATTTTGATTGCCTCTCTGTCTTTACCATTATTCATTTCTTAGTAGTCATTTATATGTTTTGCCATCAAGTCGTTTTCTGAATTTATTCTTCAAAATGGCAACAAGCTACAGCTAGATTAGAAAAGAAGAAAAAACCCACAAACCCAAGATTGTATCACCTTGACAATACCTAAAAATATCATAATGTTGAACCACTTAGACACAACGCCATACTTGTAAGTTGTAACTCAACATCTGAAGTCAAAATAAAATTTCACAAACCGAGTGAAGGTAATAATAGTTGTAAGACTCGTGTGATCACCAGTTTCATTTGAACACAAGCTGGCACGAATTCGAAGCCTTGAGCATACTTTCTAACTCTCCAACACTTGCAAAAAGTCTTATAAAAGTTGCCTTTTTCAAATGATTCGCGTTCCTGAGGATGTATTTGGCCACCTCTTTCTCCTCTTCCCGTTGGCCTTTGTAAGATTCCCACACTAATGTCTGGAGGTGGAGCAACAAACATTCAGGGACATTCTTCGGTTGATTCCATTTCTCACAGGCCACATCATCTTTTTCCTTAGAGCATGGCGGAAACTAACGTGGGGGGGGAAACACAATATACATTAGATGAAAAATTAATTAGATCATCAAAAACAAAAATCCGAAAGTGAGCCAGAAAATAGTTTTTATGTAAGATAAACTTGCAAACTGCAATGCTTACACCGGTGAGCTTGAGAGCTTGTAATTTAGGAGAAGCATCGAGCATGAGCATAAGTAGATTCCCCCACTCGGCGTTGCATGTTTGTAGCTCAAAATCTACGAGCCGATAGAAGATGCTATCAGTAGGATAAGTAATCTACGTATGATTGAGAGGCAGTATTAATCATAGAGTCATAGAGAAACAAGGGAATAATAAGTAAGTTATCATCAACTAACTGCAACTGCAACTGCAAGCAAAGCTTACCGGATCGGATGAGCTCAAGAAAAGGCGTTTGGCTGGAGTGAGGGATCTCATAATGTAGTCACTGATTATCCCAGAGATGGCAATAACTGCCTCCTCCAGCTCAGGTGTATTCCCAATCAGAATAGAACCAAAGGCAATACGCCCTACAACCTCCAAGTATTTCAACGAAGGAGCCTTTATCACATAGACCACTTCACGAGTGTTCCTAATTATTAGTCTCTGCAAGGACGGGACATCAATAGCGAAGGTCTTCACATCCGATTGTCTACATTGGACAACCTCCAGATTTTGGAGACGAGAACAACCAGATAAAAGGTTGACAACTGAATCATCGTCTTTGTATCTCACCCCACTAAGTCGTAGAGTTCTAAGAGACTTTAAAAAAACCGGAAATGGGATATCTATCAGAACATGATGACTGAGTTTCAAGGTCTCTAGTGTTCCACAGTTATACAAGCTTGTAGGATATCTGAACAACCTCCTAGAGTATAATTCCCGAGGGCGAACTTGGAGTTCCAATTCACGCACATGCAGGCCAAACGCAACTCCCAGCAATATTCCAATATCACAATCCACACTAATTCCGTCATCACAATAAATGTTGAGAAGCAAACTCTGAAGAACCGGAGCCTGATGTGAAAGCAAACACCTGCAGACGTTGCTTGAAAACCTCTCAAGATCATTCGTTGCATTGTAAGTAAATGCAAGGTTAGGCATCGTCTTCCAGAGAGAGCGCCATCGTTTAGACAAAACACCAGTGGATATCACAGCTTTTGTTGGGAGGGAAGACAATATTTGCACAAGCAATGCGTCCGGCAAATTGCTGATTCTGTCTTCATTTCTCAAACTTTGACCACTGTGAAAGAAAAACAACAAAGGAACATGAGATGTTTAGGAGCTTACAGTTTAAGAAATCACATGGACATGTTCTTAGAAATAAGCAGAGGTAGAAGATTCCTACCCTCGTTTCATCTTCTTTGACAGATTGGTCATGAATCGCAGTGAAAAAAATGTATTCCGGAGTGCCTATCACATTTAGAAACGCTGTTTCAACTCCTCAACCGCAGATTTATCCCCAAAAGAAAAGTGTTAACGGACAGAGAAAGACTCAATTCCTGGGGTAGGGGGAAGAAGAAGTTAGCAGAGATCCAAGTTCGACCACCGTGAGAACAGACGGCGGTGAGGAGCCAACAAAATCAGGGTTTTGTTAAAGAGGAGCAAGCGGAGTCGGAAATGGATCGTTTTAACAAATGCGGAAATGAACACAACTAAAACGACGACGGATCGGTGAGTATTCAGCCAACTGGCGTTTTTTTTAAAACGTAAACCAATACAAACCGAAAGATAAACGAACATCCTTCGGTTCGGTTATTACAGTTAAATTTATCAATTAATTCTTTTGGTTTGGTTTTGGAGTTTGAAGACACACGTCTGTTTTCCATGGAGGAATGAATGATAGTCAACTTTTGTATGAACAAATTCTGACATCCTTCTGGAAGAAGCGATTGGTTTGCTGTAACTAAAAGAAAGTAGTCACTATGGATTGAAACATCTTTAAGTATATTTATGTTACGACGTCAAACTAAACCAAGCAGTCACCAAATGTTGAATGGTCTTTCAAAAAAGGTAACGACATAGTAAAAGTTACATGTCACACAACAACAGAGGGAGACTCCAAATATATAAATTAGTGCTGTGCTAGCCTAAACGAAACATTTGTGGCTCCAAGCTCCGGGTTAGGCTATTCAAGGTACATGTCTGGTTTCATGAAGAGAATGTTAATCATGAAGTTGACTTTTTGTAGCAACAGATTTTGACTTATGTGCGGAAGAGATTCATAGCAAAATAACTAAGAGAAACAGCTAAATCATCATTGAATCCGGTTATAACAAATATGTTTACCACCTCAAACTCTCAGCTAAACCAGAGATCTTAGGTCTAGTTTGTTCAGAAATTCTGATTGCCTCTCTGTTTTTACCATCCTTAGTTATCACTTATCACCTACACATGTTTTGCTATACATCAACCCGCTTTCTGAATATATTCTTGAAAATGGTAACAAGCTACGGCTAGAAAGAAACAAACATAAACCCAAGAATACATCACCTTGACAATACCTATTCATACTTTTGAACCAGTTAAAACTCAACATCTGAAACCAAAATAATTCTTCACAAACCGAAATACTATTGTAAGACTCGTACATGTGATCACCAGTTTCATTTGAACACAAGCTGACATGAACTCGATCCCCTGACCATACTTTCACACTCTCCAACACTTCCCATCACGCTTATAAAAGTTGCCTCTTTCAAATGGCTTGCGTTCCTGAGAATGTACTTGGCCACCTCTTTATCCTCTTCCCGCTGGCTTTCGTAAGATTCCCACACTAATGTCTGGAGGTGGAGCAACAAACATACAGGAACATTCTTCGGTTGACTCCATTTCTCATAGGCCACATCATCTTCTTCCCCATGATCCGACACATCATCTTCTTCCTCAGAGCGTGGCCCAAACTAACGAGTGGAAAACACAATGTACATAAAAAAAAAAAACCAAAACTGAGACAGACATAAGTTTTTATGTAAGATGAAACTTGCAATGCTTACACCAGTGAGCTTGAGGGCCTGTAGTTTAGGAGAAGCATCGAGCATGAGCATAACTAGTTTCCACCACTCGGCATTATACGTATCTAGCTCCAAATGTACGAGCCTGTAGAAGATACTACCGATAGGAAATGTAATCTACATATATATATATATACACGAAGCAGTTCAGTGATAGAAACAACGCAATAATACAGTAATAAGTAAGTGATCAAACAAACTGCAAGCAAAGCTTACCGGTTCAGGTGTTAACAAAGAAAGGCGTTTGACCGAAGTGAAGGATTCCAGATTGTAATCGTAGATTGTATAAGCGATCTGAATATTTGCCTTCTCCAGCTCAGGTGTATTCCCAATCAGAATTGAATCAAAGTCTATAAACCCTGAAACCTTTAGGTATTTCAAAGAAGGAGCCTTTACCACATAGAGCACTTCACCAACGCTGTAAATGTTTAGTCTCTGCAAGTAGGGGAAATCAATAGTGAAGGTCTTCACATCCGATTGTGTGAGTAGGTTAACCTCCAAATTCTCAAGACGAGAGCATCCTTTTAAAAGGTTGACAACTGACTCATCGTCTTTGTACCTCACCCCGTTAAGTCGTAGGGTTCTGAGAGACTTCAAACAAACCGGAAATGGGATATCTATGAGAACGTCATGACTGAGTTTCAAGGTCTCTAGTGTTCCACAGTTATACAAGCTCTGAGGAAATCCGAACAAGTTCTCACGGTGATATCTCGGAAGGTGAAATCTCGGAGGGCAAACTTTCCGAGAGTTGACTTCGAGATTAAGTTCACGCACGTGAAGTCCAAACGCAACTCCCAGCAATATTCCAATATCGTAATCTATACTACTCTCATCATCAAAATCAATTTTGAGAAGCAAACTCTGGAGAACTGGAGCCTGTTGTGAAAGCAAACACTTGCAGACGTTATCAGAAAACCTCTTTAGATCATTTGTAGCGTTGTAAGTAAATGCAAGATTCGGCATCGTCTTCCAGAGAGAGCGCCATCGTTTGGACAAGACACTAGTGGCTAGGACAAGTTTTGTTGGCAGGGAAGACAATATTTCCAGAAGCAAAGCGTCTGGCAAATTGCTGATTCTGTCCTCATTTCTCAGACTTTGACCACTACGGGGAAAAAAAAAACCCAAATTCAAATTCAAACAAGAAAAGATGTTTTGCGGTTTACAGTTTAAGGAATCATACAACAGTTGTTAGAAATAAGCAGAGATAGAAGAAACATACCCTCGTTTCATCTTCTTTAACAGAGACAAATATTGGTCAGGGGTCGAAGTGGAGAGAAAATATGTTCTGATTTCTACCTTCCCAAGTGCAATCGCATTTAGAAACGCTGCTTCAATCCCATCAATCGCAGATTTATCTCTAAAAACACTCCAAACGGGCTTCGACAGAGAACGTCTCAATTCCTGAGGCTCGTCGAATCCCGCCGCGTTCATCAATGTTTAAGCTTCAATGAGTGGAATGGAGCTATTTGGTATATAAAACATATAATGTGAGCACAACACTTAGATGTTGGTTTTGAATTTGTTTGGGTTGGTTTTGTTTGGTTTGGTGTGGTTCGGTTTGAGGGTCTATTGGTTATGTAATAGACAGTGTTTGTGTGTGGCTTTTTTTTTTTTTTGTGCAAACTTCTTGTTGGAGATGAGTGAAACTCTCTGTTGCATGTGTTTCTCCTCAAATGTGATTGAAAGGAAACAAAGAAATTTGGTATTTGCCTTTGATTGGAGCTGATTAAAAATTAAAAATCTGTTAAACTTGGTCATCAAGAGAGAGAGCTCTCATGACTGTCACAAAAAGGTTTGAGCCAAAGCTGAGTCATGACTGCTTTGAGTTCTTGCAAGATTCAACCTTTGAGCTAAAAACCGATGCTAAGAGGATCGAAATTGCTGATAAAACTGCTGCTGCGAATGTAAAAGCAGAAACATACTCGGTATGATCTCTGATTCCGGCAGGGATTTCCCAGACAAGAGATCTGCTTTCTTCTTCAGTCTTGAATCCGCCTATCGACAAAACCAAACACGTTCTCTGTTCTTGCTCCTGGTTTGGTACGTAGCTCGAGCATAGGAACAAGTCTGGCTCTCCAAACACCACTCTAGAGTATCCACTCTCTTCCAGAGACTGCAGATGAAGAAATAGAAATTAAAGATCCATGCTTGTTGTGATCAAAGCAAGATTCTGATCATTACCTGATACCGAGCATGCAAAGGAAGGTTCAAGCTGATTTCACCATTCTCATAATCTCTAGAACTGATTTCTACATGAATCTCAACGACAGACCTGTTTGATCTGAACGAAGGCAGCTCAAGATTCGTGTCTCCAAACACAGACACGTCTTTGAAAGCTGCAAAAAAGATTCAAGCTCCATAAAAAAGAGAGAAAAGCTTTTAATCTGATTTATCTTCTTATGAATCTCGCTAACCTCTTCGTTGCTGGAGACTCTGAAGCTCAAAAGGATCAGCGAAAACTCCCAAAGGCAAGCGTTCAACAATCACGAGCTCGTTAAGATGAGATTGTTGTGAGTGAGGAAGACGAAGAAGATTGATGGATGTGAGAAGATTACGATGTGAGCCTTGACCAGTTATGTTTCTTGTGCCTTGTAGCAATGATGATACAGGAGGAACAATGTTTGGATCTTTATGGGAACATTGTTGACTAAGCAGATAGTTTCGAAACTCAGAGTCGTTTAAGCAAGTGTGTCTAGTGGAATAAGACTGCATAATGTATTGATCGTGGATACACAACAACGGAGGAATATGATCGGAATTTGTTCCAACCTGCAATCAAAATCATTTGCCAGGTTTCCTAGTTGATTTTGATGGAACTTCGATCTCGCGGAATCACGAATCAAAATCACTAACCTGACCAGATGAGACAGATTTCAAGCAAGAGATGGCGCAGAAGATGAGAATCACGGCTGTTACCGATCTCCGGCGTTTGCTTCCCATTGATTGATTTTCAAATCGTGAAACATATAATGCGAGGGAGGAGAGATTAGCTAACTCTTGATTCCAATCAGAGATCCTAGTTCGACCGCCGTGAGAATTGACGGCGGTGAGTAGCCAACAAAATCAGGGTTTTTATTAAAGAGGAAATGGATCGTTTTCTACTAAAACGACGACGGATCGGTGAGCTTTCATTATTCAGCCACTAGCGTCTTTTTTATAAGTAAACCAATACAAACCGGAAGAAAAACGAACATCCTTCGATTCGATCGCAAGGGAAATAGAACTACTGCCTTGTCAATGATTGAAGATGGAATGGATGCGTGTGGCATTAGGTTTAAGTGTAGCCTCAGCTCTTGCCTCTTGGTGGTATCTATAAATAAGTGTCACTCATGTAATGCAGCTCTTAAACGATTGCTTATGACATGAGAAACATATTCAGCTCAAACACTTTTATTCTAGTTACGGTTAGGGACCTTACGGTTATCAATTAATTATTTTGGTTTGGTTTTGGAGTTTCGAGATACATGTCTTATGACTTTTGGTTTGGTTTTGGAGTTTCTTAGTTTCCACCAACATGAATTGCCGGTTATGGGTATGGTCCAGGTTATGGAGAGTGACCAAATTGTGTTTGGTACCTTCGGCCAAAGACCTAAAGACCAATCAAAGCTTTTCTCAATGGTGTAGAAAAGGGATTGATGTATATGCAAGACTTTAGAATCGATTATTGGGTTTAAAACATTGTAAACAGATTTGTCTTTTTCTCTTCAGCTCAAATTCAACATCCTCATTGATATGATCATTGAATAAAGACCTGTTGGGTCAGAAATTGTGATTGCCTCTCAGCTACAACCTCAAACTCAGCTAAACCAGAGATCGAAATTTTGATTGCCTCTCTATTTTTACCCTTCTTATTCATCAAATCGCTTTCTGAATCTACTCTTTAATATGGCAACAAGCTACGGCTAGACAAAAGAAAAATCACGAACCCAAAGATTGTTTCACCTTGACAATACCTAGTCCAAGAGTTCATAATTTTGAACCAGTTACACAAAGCGCAATACTTGTAAGTTGTAACTCAACATCTGAAACTAAAATAAATCTCCACAAACCAACTTCACCTTGACAATACTGTAAGACTCGTCGTACATGTGATCACCAGTTTCATTTGAACACAAGCTGGCATGAACTCGAAGCCCTCACCATACTTTCACACTCCTCAACACTTCCCATCAGGCTTACAAAAGTAGCCTTTTTCAAAAAACATGCATTCTTGAGAATGTACTTAGCCACCTCCTTCTCCTCTTCTTGTTGGCCTTCGTAAAACTCCCACACTAAATTATGGAGGTAGAGCAACAAACATTCAGGAACATTCTTCGGTTGATTCCATTTCTCACAGGCCACATCATCATCTTCTTCCCCATGATTCGACACATCATCTTCTTCCTCATAGCGTGGCCCAAACTAACGAGTGGAAAACACAACGTACATTAGATCATCAAAAAAACTCCGAAACTGAGCCAAAAACTTCAATGCTTACACCGGTGAGCTTGAGGATCTGTAGTTTAGGAGAAGCATCGAGCATGAGCATAAGTAGATTCCACTTATTGGCTTTATATGTATAAAGCTCCAAATACACCAACTGACTGAAGATAATACCCGTAGGAAATGTAATCTACGTATGATCCATCGAGGCAGTTGTTAACATATCATAAATACAAAAAAGCAATAATAAGTAACTAATTGCAAGCAAAAGCTTATCGGCTGTTAACAAAGAAAGGCGTTTCACCGAAGTGAAAGATTCAAGATTGTAATCATAGACTGTATAAGCGGTGTCAATAACTGCCTCCTCCAGCTCAGGCGTATTCCCAATCAGAATCGAATCAAAATCTATATGCCCTTCGACCTTTAGGTATTTCAACGAAGGAGCCTTTACCACATAGACCACTTCCCCAACGCTGTAAATGATTAGTCTCTGCAAGTAGGGGAAATCAATATTGAAGGTCTTCACATCCGACTGTGTGTATAGGTGAATCTCCAAATTCTCAAGATGAGAACATCCGGACAAAAGGTTGACAACTGACACATCGTCTTTGTATCTCACCCCGTTAAGTCTTAAGAGTCCTGAGAGACTTCAAACAAACCGGAGACGGGATGTCTATCAGAACATCACGACTGAGTTTCAAGGTCTCTAGTGTTGTGCAGTTGTACAAGCTCCGAGGAAATCCGAACACGTACTCACGGTTATATCCCGGAGGGTGAAATATCTGAGGGTAATCTTTCCGAGAGTTGACTTCGAGTTTCAGTTCACGCACGTGAAGTCCAAACGCAACTCCCAGCAATATTCCAATATCGTAATCCACACTATTCTCATCGTCGAAATCAACTTTGAGATCCAAACTCTGAAGAAGAAGTGGAGCTTGATGTGAAAGCAAACACCTGCAGACGTTATCTGAAAAACTTTCAAGATCATTTGTAGCATTGTAACTAAACTCAAGACTCGGCATCGTTTTCCAAAGAGAGCGCCATCGTTTAGACAGGACACTGGAGGCTACGACAGCTTTTGTTGGAAGGGAAGACAGTATTTGCACAAGCAAAGCGTCTGGCAAATTGCTGATTCTGTCCTCATTTCTCAGACTTTGACCACTACGGAGAAAAAAAAAAAACCCCAAATTCAAATTCAGACAAGAAAAAAAGATGTTTTAGGGTTTACAGGTTAAGAAATCATATACAATCAGTTGTTAGATATAACTCAATAAGGAGAGATGGAAGAAACATACATACCCTCGTTTCATCTTCTTTAACAGAGACAAATATTGGTCAGGGATTGATATTTAGAAACGCTGTTTCAACCCCATCAATAGCACATTTATCCCTAAGAAACACTCCGAACGGGCTTCGCTAGAGAACGGCTCAATTCCTAGGGTTCGTCGAATCCGGCCGCGTTTGGGAGGAAGAAGAAGTTAGCAGAGATCGAAGTTCGACCACCGTGAGAATTGACGGCGGTGATGAGTCAACAGAATCAGGGTGTTTAACAAATGCTGTAGAACACAAAAACACTGTCGTTTTCTTAACAAACGACGACGGATCGGTGAGTATTCGTTCAGCCAGCGGCGTCTTCTATAAAAGTAAACCAATACAAATCGGAAGAAAATCGAACACCCTCCGGTTCGATTTTTATAGTTCCGGTTATCAATTAATTATTTTGGTTTGGTTTTGGAGTTTCGAAATAAATGTCTGTTTCCATGGAGAAATAGTCGACTTTTGTATAAACGAATTCTGACATACTTTTTATGGAAGAGGCGATTGATTTGCTGGAAGTAAAAAACACTAGTCTTAACTTAACGGATTAATACATACTCTTAAACATATATGTTCCAACGTAACGTCAAACTAAACCAAGTCATCAAATGTTGAGTGGTCTTTCAAAACCGATTAACGTAAACAAACATAATAAAAGTAAACATGTCCCACGAAGTCTCATCTTCTTAAATGTTTCATTTGAACACAAGCTCGCATGAATTCGAAGCTCGAACCACACTTTCCAATTCCTTCCCCACCTCTTGAACCAAGATGCTACTATCTTCATCGGGTATTGTGGAGAAAATCGCTTTCTTCAAATGATTTGCATTTCTTAGGATGTATTTCGCCACCTCTTTCTCCTCTTTTAGTAGTTGTTTATAGCCTTTCCACAAAAACGTCTGGAGATGAAGCAACAAACATTCAGGAACATTCTCCGGTTGGCTCCATTTCCCACCATCTTTTTCAGTCTCTGACCAATACTGCTGAAGACCAACGAGGGACAAACGCAATATACATTATATTAGATAACTAGATCTAAAACCGATTTGCAAAAACTGCTGAAAGATGAAAACTTGAAATGCTTACACTGATGAGCTTGAGGACTTGTAATTGAGGAGAAGCATTGAGCATGAGCACAAGTAGATTCCACCACTCAGCTCTACATGTACGTAGCTCCAAATATACTAACCGATAGAAGATAATACCCGTAGGAAATGTAATCTGCATTTATATATATAAATGAGGTAAAATATCAGTACATAAACAAAAAAATGTAATAACGACAGGTCACTAGTCAGTGCAAGAGAACCTTTACCTTCAAGGGTGACAACTCCAAGCAAAGACGTTTGGCTGAAGTGAGAGATCCCATAATATTCTCGCTCATTACGTTAGAGACATTGATAATTCTGGCCTCCACCAGCTCCGGTGCATCCTCAATGAGACATAACTGAAGACCATGCATCCATATAATATTCAAGTATTTCAAACAAGGAGCTTTTATCAAATATCCCCCAAACTCTTGCCAATCATTGTCATCATAAATCGTTAGCCTCTGTAAAGACGGAACCGCGATAGAGAAAATCTCCACATCCATTAGACCTAGACCTCGCTGCACTACCAAGTTTTCAAGTTTAGGGCAGCCAGATAAAAGGTTAAGAACCGATGTGTCGTCTTTGTATTCCACATAGTATAGATGCAAAGTCCTAAGGGACTTGAGACGAGCCGGAGAAGGAACATCTACAAGGACCCAACCGGTGAGTATCAAGGTCTCTAGTGTTTCGCAGTTATACAAGCTTCTAGGAAACTTGAACGATGACGCATATTCAATGTTGAGTATCAGTTCACGCACATGGTGAGCGTATGCAATTCCTATCCACATTCCAATATCCATAGCATCACAGCCATCTGGATTCAAATTTGTATGGAGGCTCTCTAGAAAGGGAGCTTTGTGGGAAAGCAAAAGCCTAGAAACAATCTCTGAAAATGTCTCGTGCTTACTCTGGTTGCTGTCATAATCAAAATAGAGTGTAGGCACCATCTTCCAGAGAGACCTCCATTGCTTGGACAGAACACTAGTGGCTACGACGTCTTTAGTTGGAAGTAAAGACAGTATTTGCAGAAGCAGAGCTTCAGGCAAGTTACTGATTCTGTCTCTATTTCTCAGACTTTCAAACACATAAAAGAATCAAACAACGTAAAGATGAGTTGGTTTTGGAGATTTACGGCTTAAGAAAAACATAGAACTGTTCATAATAAACAGATTGTAGGTGAATTATTATTATTATAAACATACCATTCGCTCATTGTCGTTGACAGAGAACAACAACTGAAATGAAGAAGATGGCAGTGGTAAACCAATTTTTCCGATTTATTCCTTGCTAGACGCAGCCAAACACGCTAGCTCTTAGGGGTAGAGAAAAACCTTGTTCCTCCTGCTGGCTGCTTTCACCGGTCGAATCCGGCGGTGGTAGAGAGAAGGGCGAAATTAGAAGAAGAAACTGAAGCAGCGTTGTTCACACTGTTTTGGGGAGTTTTGGGTTTTGGTAAAACTGCTTGGCTTTAAAAGGTGTAGTAGAAAACTTAAAATCATTTTAAGTTACAAGTTACAACTAGCGTTATTATTATTTTCCGAAATAAAAATACCAAACATTAGCCTAGTTTTAAGAAGAAAAAAAAAAATCATATCCAAAAATTCCAACGTATTAGACGAGTACAGGGAAATACTGTTCGTCAGTCCATAAATTAATGTTGTGCTAAAAGAAAACACATTAGGCTAATGAAGTAATAATACAACAAGATACATGCATGGTTTCATGAAGATAATAATTCTCTTTAGTTGATCATGAGCTTGGCTTTTGAAGCAACGGATTTTGACTTCTTTGTGGTACAGATTCATAGCAGAATAAGCTAAATCATCTTGGAAACCGTTTATAACAACAAATATGTTTACCACCTCCAACTCTCAGCTAAATCAGAGATCTTGGGTCTAGTTGGTCAGAAAAATTGATTGCCTCTCTGTTTTTACCATTCTTATATAAGTTCTGTCATTCATCAAATTGTTTTCTGAATCTATTCTTCAAAATGGCAACAAGCTACGGCTAGACAAAAAGTAATCACAAACCCAAAGATTGTAACACCTTGACAATATATTTGATACACACAGCGCAATACTTGTAAATCGTAACTGAACATCTGAAACCAAAATAAATTTTCACAAACAGGGTGAAGAAATAAAATATTGTAAGACTCGTACATGTGATTACCAGTTTCATTTGAACACAAGCTGGCACGAACTCGAAGCCTCCTTGACCATACTTTCACACTCTCCAACACTTCCCAAAAGTCTTACAAAAGTTGCCTTTTTCAAACGACTTGCGTTCCTGAAAATGTATTTGGCCACCTCTTTCTCCTCTTCTTGTTGGCCTCCGTAAAATTTCCACACTAAATTATGGAGGTGGAGCAACAAACATATAGGAACATTCTTCGGTTCATTCCATTTCTCATAGGCCACATCTTCTTCTTCGTCATGATTCTCCACCTCATCATCTTCGTCATGATTCGCCACATCATCTTCTTCGTTAGAGCAAGGCCCAAACTAACGAGGGGAAAAACACAATGTACATTAGACGAAAAAACCGAAACTGAGCCAGACATTAGTTTTTAAGCAAGATTAACTTGCAAATTGCAATGCTTACTCCGGTGAGCTTGAGGACTTGTAATTTAAGAGAAGCATCGAGCATGAGCACAAGTAGACTCCACCAATCGGCTTTATATGTAAACAGCTCCAAATATACCAACTGACTGAAGATGCTACCGGTAGGAAATGTAATCTACGTATGATCTAGAATCAGTATTATTGAATATAGAAAGAAAAGAAAAGCGTAATCATCAACTAATTGCAAGCAAAGCTTACCGGCTCAGGTGTTAACAAAGAAAGGCGTTTGACTGAAGTGAAAGATTCCAGATTGTAATCATAGACTGTATAAGCGATGTCAATAACTGCCTCCTCCAGCTCAGGCGTATTCCCAATCAGAACAGAGTCAAAATCTATATACCCTCTAATCTTCAAGTATTTCAGAGAAGGAGCCTTTATCACATAGACCACTTCACCAACGCTGCTAATTATTAGCCTCTGCAATGACGGGACATCAATAGTGAACATCTTCACATCCGATTGTGTTAAAAGTGCAACCTCCAGATTCTCGAGACGAGAGCATCCTTTTAAAAGGTTGACAAATGATTCATCGTCTTTGTATCTCACCCCCTTAAGTTGTAGAGTTCTAAGAGACATCAAACAAACCGGAAATGGGACATCTATTAGAACATCATGACCGAGTTTCAAGGTCTCTAGTGTTCTACTCTTGTACAAGCTTGTAGGAAATCTGAACAACTTCTCAGGGTGAAACCTCAGAGGGTAAAATTTCCGAGAGTGAACTTGGAGTTCCAATTCACGCACATGCAGTCCAAACGCAACTCCCAGTAATACTCCGATATCGCAATCCACATTAATTTCATCATCAATATGAATGTTGAGAAGCAAACTCTGAAGAACTGGAGCCTGTTGTAAAAGCAAACACCTGGAGACGTTATCTGAAAACCGCTCAAGATCATTCGTTGCATTGTAACTGAACTCAAGACTCGGCATCGTCTTCCAAAGAGAGCGCCATCGTTTAGACAAGACACTAGTTGCTACCACAACTTTTGTTGGAAGGGAAGACAGTATTTGCACAAGCAAAGCGTCCGGCAACTCACTGATTCTGTCCTCGTTACTCAAACTTTGACCACTGTAAGAAAAAAAACCCCCAAAATTCATTCAACAAAAGAACACGACATGTTTTTGGAGCTTAAGGTTCAAGAAATCACTGAACATGTTCTTAGAAATAAGCAGAGATGGAAGAAACATACCCTCGTTTCATCGTCTTTGACAAAAGATCTTCTGGTAAATACTTCTGATACATATCTTCCCAAAGTGCTATCGCATTAAGAATCGCAGATTCATCCCCAAAAACAAAACAAAAAACTCCAAACGGGCTTCGACAGAGAACGACTCAATTCATGGGGTTCTTAGAATCCGGCGGCGTTTGGGAGGAGGAAGAAGTTAGCAGAGATCGAAGTTCGACCAGACGGCGGTGAGGAGCCAACAAAATCAGGGATTTAGAGGACGGAAATGGAGCGTGCCAAACATACACTCAAAACGACGACGGATCGGTGAGTAACTATCAGCTACAGAATACCAATTTCAAACCGGAAGAAAAATCGAGCATCCTTCGGTTCGATTTTGTATGATTACAGTTATTAATAATTCTACGGATTTAGTTTCGACTAGTCTTGTTTTCTTGTCTGTTTGGTTTGGTTAAGAATTAAGATTGTATTTCAAGATGCATGTCTGTTTCCACTTTCCATGGAGAAATAGTTGACTTTTGCATGAACCAGTTTTGACCTCCTTGTGGAAGAAATCTTGAATGGTTTTCAAAACCGATCAAAGTACCGAGATAGTAAAAGTTGAACAACAAGAAAACAGGGAGACTCGCCAAATATATTAGTTAGTGTTGTGCTAAACGAAACATTTGTGGCTTCAAGCACCGGATTAGGCTAATCAACATTCAAAATACATATCTGGTTTCATAGAAAGAGTAAATTAATCATGAACTTGACTTTTGTAACCACGGATTTTGACTTCTTTGTGGTAGAGATAAATTCCTTCCAATATAAGTAACATAGTAAAAAGTTGCATGTCACACAACAAAAGACTCCAAATATCTATAAAGCTTCATTCGAACACAAGCTGACATGAACTCGAAGCCCTGACCACACTTTCCAACTCATCGACCAACTTAACTCTCTCTTCCAAATTAACGTCATTTTTGGAGAGAGTTGCCTTTTTCAACCGACTTGCGTTCTTTAGAACGTATTTGGCCACCTCTTTCTCATCCCCTAGTTTCCCTTTGTGACATGTCCACACGGACAAGACGAACGTTTCAAGGTGGAACAACAAACATTCGGGAACATTTTTTGGTTGAATCCATTTTCCCCAAGCCATACCTCCACTGTATATATCCCATCGCTAAGACCAACGAGGAAGAACACACACTAAGCAAACTACATACATATATATATTAGATCATCAACAAACAAAAGCGAGCTGGAAGATGAACTTACAGTTCTGGTACCACCAATGAGCTTGAGGACTCGTAATCTAGGAGAAGTATCAAGCATGAGCGTAAGTAGATTCCACCACTCGGCTTTATAAGTACATATCTCCAAATGTGCCAACTGATGAAAGATTTTACCGGCGGGAAACGTACACTATACATGAAGCAATATTAGTAGAGAAATAATGCAATAACAAGTAACTCGATTACTTACAAAAAAAAATAAAAATAAAACTTACCTCCACGGGTGATATATTCAAGGAAAGGTGTTTAGCTGAAGTGAGTGATCCCAAAATGTTCTCACTGATTACATAATCGATGCTAATATTTGCCTCCACAAGCTCAGGGGCGTTCTCAAACAGACAAGAACCAAGACCACTAAACCCTTGGATCTTCAAGTATTTCAAAAAAGGAGCTTTTATCACATAGCTCGAATCATTAGTCTGATCAGTAATTGTTAGCCTTTGTAAGGATGGCACTGCTATAGTGAAAGTCCTCACAACATCATGTCTTTTTCGTTTGACCACCAAATTTTCAAGACTAACACAGCCAGACAAAAGGTTGACAACGGATTCGTCGTCCTTGTATTCCACTTCGTGAAGGAGTAGAGTTCTAAGGGACTTGAGACAAACCGAAGAAGGGACATCTACAAGAATTGAGCCACAAGAAGTAACGAGTTTCAAAGTCTCTAGTTTTTCACAGTTATACAAACTTCGGGGAAATGTGAATAACCCTTCCTCGCAGTAAACTTCGAGTTTTAACTCACGCACATGGAGTCCAAATGCAATCCCGATTAATACTCCAAGATCCATACTAGCCTCTTTGTCAAAACTAACAAGGAGATGCAAACTCTGTAGAACAGGAGCCTTGTGTGAAAGCAAAGTCTTGCCAACATTTTCTGAAAATGTCTGGAGACCAGTCAGGCCATCGTGTATAAACTTGAGCTTAGGCACCACTTTCCAAAGAGTACGCCATCGTTTAGACAAGACACTAGTGGCTGCGACGTCTTCTGTTGGAAGTAAAGACAATATCTGTAGAAGCAAAGCTTCAGGCAACTCACTGATCATGTCCTCATTTATCAGACTTTCACCACAACTTTTGCTGTATAAAAAAAAAAAAAAAAATTGATTCCGAGCTTAGAGGAAATGGATACAAATAACAGAGATAAGAAACCATGGATAAAATGGATAGAGATAATCACACATAGAAGAAACGTACGATCGTTTCATTGTCTTTGACAAAGACAGCAATTGGGAAAGAATTGAAGTGAAAGATCTCTTCTTGCGTACTATCGCATTTCGACCGCTCAAACGCAGACGTAACGCAACACTCTAAACGCTAGCTCTTCGATAGTCAACGACTCAGTTCCTGGACGAAAGAAGTCGATCGCTGTGAGAATTGACGGCGGTAGAAGACAAAGGAACGGCAGAATTATACGGGTGGTGTTAGGGTTTCGGAAAAGGACGCGGAGCAGACGGAATTGGTCATTTTTTTACAAATGCTGTATATATTTGAAAACGATGACGGATCGTTTAGAATTATCCACTAAGTAAACCAATACAAACCGCAAGATCATTTATATTTCTTCGGTTCGGTTTTGTTACTTTTGTATAGTTGCTGTTCGATTTCAGCTTTTTGTTTTTCGCATGTCTTTAAGACTTTAACTCTTAAACTCTGCGGATGTTTTTAACATAAAACGAAATGTGGGTTGGTTTCGACTTTCGACTACACCTTGATCAAAGTTCAGAATCCACATTTTAGATTCATACTAGAACTCAACGTCCCTGAGTAAAAACCGTCTTCTTCATAAACCGATTAAAATAAAAGCATAGTAAAAAAGTTACATGTGATAACAAAAAAAAAAAAAAAAAAAAAAAAAAGTCTCACCTTCAAAGTTTCATTTGAAGACAAGCCGGCATGAATTTGATGAAGCCTTGACCACATTTTCCAACTCCTCCAACAGCGCATGTCTCTTTTCTGAATCAAAACCTCGTCCGAAGTAAGTAAAAGTTGCATTTGTCAAATGATTCGCATTCCTTATGATGTATTTCACCACTTCTTTATCCTCTTTTAGTTGGCCTTCGCGAAACGTCCACACTAATGTCTGGAGGTGGAGCAACAAACATTCGGGAACATTCTTTGGTTGCTCCCATTTCTCATAGGCCACACCAACTGCTTCGATAGTAATCTGGTTCCATCAGATATATACTGATTAAATCATCAAAACCCGAAAAACTGAGCTGAAAAAACAAAAAAAAAAAAAAAAAAATTACGTTGCAATGCTTACACCGGTGAGCTTGAGGACTTGTAATTTAGGGGAACCACTGAGCACAAGCATAAGTAGATTCAACCAGTTAGCTCTCCTTGTAAGTAGCTCCAAACATACAAGCCGATAGAAGATGGTACCAGTAGGATATGTAATCTAGGTACGATCGAGATGCAACATTAATTATATAGAAACAAGGGAATAACAAGTATAACTCAACTTGTATTGCAAGCAAAGCTTACCGGATGAGCTCAAGAAAAGGCGTTTGACTGAAGTGAGGGATCTTGGAATGTACTCAGGCATTACACCATACATGCAAATATTTCCCTCCTCCAGCTCAGGTGTACTCCCAATGAGTAAAGACTCATAATATATAGACCCTTCAACGCTCAAGTATTTCAATGAAGGTGCCTTTATCACATAGACCTCACCAACACGACATTCAACAAGAATCGATAGTCTCCGCAAGGACGGCACATCAATAGTGAAAGTCTTCACACCCAAAACTGAATAATATTGCATAACCTCCAGGTTCTCAAGACGAGAACAGCCAGACAAAAGGTTAACAACTGATTCATCGTCTTTGTAATCCACCCTGTCAAGGGTTAGAGTTTTAAGAGACTTGAGACAAACCGGAAAAGGGACATCTATCAAGATAGAACCAGAGAGTTTCAAGGTCTCTAGTGTTTGGCAGTTATACATGCTTCTAGGAAATGTGAAGGACGACTCTTTGAAATACTCAACGTCGAGTACAAACTCACGCACATGGAGTCCAAATGCAACTCCAATCAATATGTCAATATCCGAACTAGAACCGTCAACAGAAAATATTTCGAGATGCAACCTCTGTAGAACCGGAGCCTGATGTGAAAGCAAAATCTTGCAAACATCATATGAAAACTCGTCGAGAGCGTCGTTTGGACAAGTAAACTTGAGACTCGGCAAAGTCTTCCAAAGAGACCGCCATCGTTTAGACAAAACACCAGTGGCTACGACCTCTTCTGTTGGAACTAAAGACAATATCTTTAGAAGCAAAGCTTCAGGTAGCTGACTGATCATGTCCTCATTCAAAGCACCTCTGTTTCTCAAACTTTCACCACCGATTTTGCTGCTAAAATAAAAATGAGAAATGAAACCACAAATTCAAACAACACAAGAACACGAATATGTTTTTGAGGTTGTACAGTTAATTAAGAGATCGACAATAAAGTAAAGGGTTTATTAGAAAATAAGAAACATACCATCGTTCCATGTTGTCGTTGAGAGAGACAAAAAAGTGAGCAAGAATTCAAGTGAAGAAAAGGAGCAGCTAGAAGGAAAGGCTTTAACGAAACGGTTCCGAAGATATCAGTTACGTTACGCAGTGCAAGGGGTATACAAAATATACGGTCAAAGAATATCTAAACCACCTAATAATAGAATATTGTATCATCAGTAATAATCCAATAATCAAAGTGCCAACAAGCAACGTCTAGATAATTAAACCACAAAGCCAAGATTGTATCGGCGAAAATTCAGAATTACACATTTTGAACCGATCAAATAGAACTGATCAACATACGCAAAACTATCTAGAAAACATGCCCTTTTCTCATAATAAAAAAAAGCATCCATAATAAAAATCATCCCAAATTAAGAAACATCTATAGAAACGGATTCAAGCAACATCATATAGTAAAAGTTACTTGAGATTAAAAAACAAAATTCCTTTCTACGTTTCTTTCGAACACAAGCTGGCACGAATGGGAAGCCTTGGCCACACTTTCCAACTCTTCAACACTTCCCAACAGGTTTGTAAAAGTTGCCTTTTTCAAAAAACACGCATTCCTGAAAATGTATTTCACCACCTCCTTCTCCTCTTCTTGTTGGCCTTTGTAATAACTCCACACTAATGTCTTGAGCTGGGGCAACAAACGTTCAGGAACATCCTTTGGTTGACTCCATTTCTTCTTATAGGCCACAGCATCTTCTTCTTCTTCTTCATAGCAAGGCTGATACCAACGGTGGGGAAACACAATGCACATTAGATGATAGATCATCAAACAAAAAACTGAGCCAGGAGATAATTTATATGTAGGATGAACTTGCAAAGCTTACACCAACGAGCTTGAGGTCTTGCAAATTAGAAGAACCATTTAGCATGGGAATAAGTAGATTCCACCACTCTGGTTGATCTATATCTAGCTCCCAGTATACGAGCCGATAGAAGATGCTACTAGCAGTAGGATCTGTAATCTACGTATGATCGAGAGGCAGTATAATTAATAACGTCAGTATAATTAATAACGTCAGAAACAAGGCACTTACCGACTTATATGATCTCAAGAAAAGGCGTTTCGCTGAAGTGAAGGATCTAATAGTGTGCTCATAGATTGTACCAGAGATGTCAATATATGCCTCCTCCAGCTCAGGTGTATTTCCAATCCGAATATGTTCAGAATCTATATACCCTCTAATCCTCAAGTATTTCAAACAAGGAGCCTTCACATGAAGCTTAACACCAACGCTCTCAATTGATAGTCTCTGCAAGGACGGGACATCAACAGGGAAAGTCTTCACATCCCCAGATGATCCCGTGACCAACAAGTTTTCAAGACGAGAACATCCTTTGAAAAGGTTGACAACTGATTTGTGGTCTTTGTATATCACCCTTTCAAGGTGTAGAGTTCTAAGAGACTTCAAGCAAGCCGGAGATGGGACGTTTACAAGAATGTTGCCTCTGAGTTTCAACGTCTCTAGTGTTTCACAGTTATATAAGCCTCTAGGAAAACTGAACAACCCTTGGAGAGATCTAACCTCGAGTACAAACTCACGCACATGGATGCCAAATGCAATTCCAATCGGTACTCCAATATCCATACTAGAGCCTTTATAACCACAACAAACTTCGAGACGCAAGCTCTGTAGAACCGGAGCCTGTTGTGAAAGCAAAGTCTTGCAGACATAATCTGAAAATCTCTCGACGACGCCTTCGTGTGGACAAGTAAACTTGAGACTCGGCACCATCTTCCAAAGAAACCGCCATCCTTTAGACAGAACACTTGTGGCTACGACATCTTTCGTTTCAAGTAAAGATAATATCTGCAGAAGCAAAGCTTCAGGTAACTCACTGATTTTGTCCTCGTTCAAAACAGGATCACACATCGTTCAATTATCGTTGATAGAGACAAGAACTGACAAAGAATTGATTTATGACTTGCGTTTGCTGAGTGCTATCACGATTACAAACGCTCTTTCAACCCCCAAACGCAGACTCAACGCTAGCTCTTTGATTGAATAACTCAGTTCCTGGTGATCGTCGAATCCGGATGCAGTGGGGACGATAACGAATTGACGGCCATGCGAAAAGCCTTAAAACCAGTTATAGGGTTTCAGAGGAAAAATCGATATTATAATTTCTGGTTTTGAATTTGGTTTTATACTAACTAACCATCTCTTATACTTTGATTAGAGTTTGATTTGGCGTGATTTTTCTTCTCATCCGGTTTGGTATATGTTTCAAATGGTTTATTTGGTTTGCTTAACCATAGTACCAAATTGGATTCGGCTAAATTCTTTGTATATAACCGGATAGTTTTGGGCCGAACTAAACTAAAAAAATGTACCATGTTTTGCTTAATACAAAAAGGAACACACACCAACACAAGCAACATAAAACCAAGTGTTTTGCATTAAAAATGTAAAACCATGCTTATCTCTATGCATGTTGCTTTAATCACTCTGTTTCTTTTGATGGCGAGACCACAAACCTCATGCAAGATGGTGAGTATTATCGATAACATTAAACATCTATAGATAGCCAAAGAATGGTTATCTCATCAAATTAGGATGGACTTTGAAAAAAAAAAGGTTAATAATCCTTTAGCGAGTAAATTTCGATATCTAAAAACAAAAAACATTGTAGAAGTTCTTCATCCCTCTTTTTAGTGATCAATTATATACTTGTTGATGTGTACATAATTTTGCTTAGCATTTATGTACTCTACATACATGTTTGGAATGATTTGGAATTAATGAACGAAAAAACATCAAGTTATACGATTCACGCGTGGCAAAACCCTAAAACTAGTAAAGGCCACATTGTTCTTCGTTTTGCTTTGTTTCCAGTCGTTCTGAATTTTATCAACTATCTGAAAAGATTGTTTTCTCGCTAACAGATGTTTGGAGTTTAATTAACTCCGGATATTTAATAATACAATTAAATACTACTCTTGTTTGATTCAAAAGAAACAATTAATTACTTGTCAAAAAAAGGTACAGATGTTTGACCCTCCCACTGGCGGTCAAACCCAAATAATGATAATCACTTTCTTTCCCTGTCATCAATCTTTGACTTTTGACTCTTCTTCCCATTCCCTCTTTTATCCGTTACGATCTCGACACGTGTCGTTTCCTCTCTCTCGTATAAGTTCGCAATGACAGATTTGCGCCGTTGGATCGTTCCTCTTGCTGTAATCTGGGTTCCGTCTCCGTCTCTCTCTGTTTCGATCTGTTTTTTTTTTTGACCAAACTTTACAAAGACGAATTGTTTTTTGGTCTTTCCTGATTTTCTTTTTTTTTTTTGTTTGTTCATCTTTCTTCCTTCCTTCCTTCAATGTCGTTGTAACACATCCGACGATACTTGATTCTCACTCTTTCTCTTCTCCGATTTAGTCTCTTGCATCTATTATCCTCTCACTTGTTTTAGAAATTTTGATCCCAAGGTCGAGGACGAAAGAATCCGGATTTTCAATTAATTGCGACTGGGAATTTCGTAATTAGGTTTCGTTTTGGACGTGGTTTTTTCAACTGTGGGTATTTACGATGAAAGCTTCGATTGGGAGGTTAAGGAGATTTGCATCGCATAAAGTCGATGCGAAGGAAAAAGGAGAGCTCGTGGCTACGGCCGAAATCGACGAACTCGCTCGAGCCGGAAAGGTTAATTCCGCTGCTTCATTAATTTCACAATGATCGAATTTTCGCGGGATCGTGGAGATTTTAGTAGGGTTTATGCTGTGTGTGTGGGTAGTTAATTTGGAAATTCTTCGTTTCTCAATCGAGTTTCTGACGATAATTGGCCGGGAAATGCTAACCGGAAACCATTTTCCGGGACTTTGACCCATTTGTCTCCGGTTCGTTCACAGGAATCAAAAGAGCAAATTTAGAAACTTTCGAATTGGTAGTAAATCGGATCACTTAGAAATGAGATTTAGGATGAACACATTTAGTCACTGAATCTGGCTTTAACTGTTATCTCAACTTTCCATATTGATTTTTGATAATGGTGATAGTAATCTTCAGAGACTACTCTCTGTGCATTCTCAGGATATGCAAGACATGAGAGACTGCTACGATAGACTACTTGCTGCAGCTGCTGCCACGGCAAATAGTGCTTATGGTAAAGAAACATTTAGTTTCATATACGCGAAATGCAAAATTTAAGTTCAAAACGATCTTACACTCTTATGGTAATGCTGTGGGAAATCTCAGAGTTCTCTGAATCATTGGGAGAGATGGGCTCTTGTTTGGAGCAAATCGCGCCTCATAACGATGAAGAAAGCAGTAAGCGCCTAAGATTAGCCTTTTACTGTTTATTATAATAATATATGCTGTATAGTAGTAATAATGTTTTCTTCTGTAGGTAGAATCTTGTTTATGTTGGGTAATGTTCAGCTTGAGCTCCAAAAACTTCTTGACCAATATGTAAGTTGTTTGTTGCAAACGCATTCCGCAAAAAGCTTTATTTTTTACATTTAAAAGAAAACTTACTTGGTCACGGTTTTTGGTTCTTCAGCGTAGTCATATATTCAAAACTATTACAGCTCCATCAGAATCACTCCTCCAGGACCTCAGAGATGTTGAGGTATTCCAGAATTTGAAATTCTTGTATCCGAGATAACGCTCTACTTTTTTGTTTTTACTCATCTGTTTCTCTTTGTGAATGAGCAGGATATGAAGCAACAATGCGACGAGAAGAGGTTTGTTACCGTTTTCACTTATGAAGTTTTTGGTTTTATTTTACGCTCTTGCCTTATACATTTTCATTACCAGAAATGTGTTTGAGATGGCGCTTGTGAAAGATAAAGGAAGGCCTAAAAGCAGTAAAGGAGAAAGGCATATTCCTCCTGAGTCTCGACCTGCTTACAATGAGTTTCATGACGAGGCAACAATGTGCATTTTTCGATTGAAATCTCTTAAAGAAGGTCAAGCTCGTAGTCTTCTCACACAAGCAGTCCGTCACCACACCGCTCAGGTAAACATCAGACTCAATTCCTATTGCTATTCTCATGGATATTCGGTCTTCTTGACTTTTTATGATTGTTTTAGATGCGTCTATTTAACACTGGAATGAAATCGCTCGAGGCAGTAGAGCGTCAAGTAAGAGTTTCAGCAGAGAAACAACACATTGACTGTGATCTCTCTGTTCATGAGAACGAAGTGGAAGCTAGTGAGGATGATGATGGCCAATACGTTAACAGAGAAGGAGCAAATGAGCAGAGGGTAGAAGCTGCTTCTCTCTCTACACCTCGTGGCTCAATGAAGGTAAGTCGAATTTGAAAACCATAAGGAACATGAATCTGAAACAGAATGGTTATATAAGCTCTTCTGTTTTCCTCCAGATGGACGATTCAGACCTCTCGTTTCCTCGTCCTTCTACAACAAGAGCAGCAGCGGTATGTTTTTTTCCCTTTGATCTCTATAAACCATTTGACATCTTTGTAACAAAGTTTCTCAACTGCGATAGCTTCATTGTCCATTCTAGGTAAATGCTGATCATAAAGAAGAATATCCAATTTCAACCCGGGATCACAGAATGACCAGCCATTCAGCTCCGTTGTTCCCGGAGAAGAAACCTGATTTGCTGAGACAGACGAATCCATCTTCAAACGCTTACGTATTACCAACACCAAACGATTCAAAGTACTCAAAACCAGCTTTGAACCCGAGGCCAGCAGCAAACATATGGCATTCATCACCGTTAGAACCAATAAAAAGCGGGAAAGACGCAGAGAACAACAGCCTCTACGTCCGTCTCCCTCGACCTTCCACAACAGACGCTCATAATCAGCAAACAGCAGCAAGACATGCATTTTCAGGACCTCTCAAACCGTCCTCAACAAAACCCGTCACCACCAGCGACATTTCCTCAGGCGCGTTTCGTCCTCTGCCAACTCCTCCTACACCCCAACCTCAACCTCATCCTCATCCATCATCGTCTCCAAAAGTGTCCCCTACAGCTTCACCTCCTCCTGGTCTTTCTTCTTCCCCGAGGCTCAACGAGCTTCACGAGCTTCCAAGACCACCAGGCCACTTTCCACCGCCGCCAAGACGAGCCAAATCCCCTGGTCTGGTTGGTCACTCGGCGCCTCTAACCGGATGGAATCAAGAAAGAAACTCTGCTACGGTTGCTCCTCCGTCCAGCTCCAACATTGTGGCCTCTCCGCTTCCGGTTCCTCCCCTTGTTGTCCCTAGAAGCTTCTCTATACCTTCAAGTCACCAGAGAGCCTTTTCTTCTCAACGGCCTGTTGAGAGGAACGATGATACCGTAGCCGCGTCCCCACCGCTAACACCGATGAGCTTGTCTCGGCCACTTCCTCAAGCCGCGGGAGTTGCTCAGACCAGTCAAATTAGAGGTAAAATGCAACTAAAGAATGTTAAGCTTTTATTATTTGAAACGCCGTTTGTGCGTCTGCATTTACATGGAAAAGGTCGCATTTTTAAAATACAAGCATCTTTATTTATTTTTCTGAGCATACGCCAAACGCAAACGAAAAGTTACCTTTGTGTGTTGTCTTTAGCGTTGGAAATGGATTTTGTTTGTTGTGGATTTATTGAAACCTCCATAGGTTATTGAATCATGCAGGAGTAGGAAAGCTGATCGAACGATGAAGCTGCCGCGTCTGCGTTTGACTGAAACGCTGGTTGTAGAGAATTTAGAGATCTCCACAAATGAATATAGTAGTCAGTGTATGTATGTATTCTTTAGTTGGTTAATTTTTCGTTTTTTTTTCTTCTCCAATGTAAATCTGAAGCCTCTGTTCATTTTTAATCTCTTCAATGTTCTTCTTTTATCCCTTCAACTGAAAAAAAAAAAGGCAATTTAATTCAATAAATAGTGAAGATTTTATTTTATTTAATTCCAGAAAATATTGGAAAAGAAAGAAAATTATCACGTTGAGTTGATTGTGTTAAGACATACGTGGCGGATATCGAGGAAGTAGGGAGGAGAGAAGGATTTCGTCGTCGTCGTCAATGGATATCTCTGCGTCTGCTTCTCTAACTTCCTCTGGATTCGTTCCTCGTCTTCTTCCCTTGTTCAATCCTCTAACTCGAACTATCTCCTGCTCAGCGTTGCTCTCTTCTTCTTCCTCCTCTGTTAGACTCATTTCTTCTCACAGACGTATAGCTCCGTCTCTGTGTGTCTCCGATCAATCTGCCTCTACCGGTTAGTTTTTCAATCCCTAATTTGGAAATTAAGAGATGCCTAAGCCTAGCTTTACTTTTGCTTATTCTTCTTCTGGTAGATAACCATTCGTCTCGTTGGTTTGTCCTTATGAAAAATTCTTTCAATCGCTTAGTGTTCGACGATATGTCTACTGTTGAATTAGTCATTTTGTGCTGCTTTTTTGTCCCGAAATTCTCTCACATTGGTGCTGCGAGTAATTGCTTCTCAACGAAACGGAAAAATTGTATGAAGTTTTTGTAGCTGATTGATCCATTTCTCATACGAGTTATCCAATTTTTTGTTGTTGTTGGATAGGGATCAATGTTGTTGATTCGGATCCCGTTGATACTGTTAAGGTGAGAGTTTTCACAGAACCAACTTACAAAATGTAACCAGCTTTTGCTTCCTCTTACTTTAACCATTTCCTTCTGAAACTCAGAGGAAAGCTATGGACATTGCCCCTCAGCTCAAAGGAGCTTCAATATTTCTGGTTGGTAAGGCCGGCTTGGCTACGATTTAAGCTGCACGCTCCATTTTTTAAACTAAATGTGTACTTCATATGGACGGACACTGATGTTTGAGCTTTCACGATCTGTTTATAGGGATTAATAACCCTGTAAAAACAAACTTGGGGAAGCTTTTGGCAGATTCATTACGATATTACTACTTTGATAGGTACGTTCGTTAAAATCCAATTTACCATACATATGAGGTACTTTGTGGAATCTAGTTATGTTAAGCTTTAAGCTCTCTCTTTTGTGGTCCTTTACCTCTATAACAATAGGGGTTACCACCACCTTGATTCTTCTCTTCCTCTTGATAAGTTCTCGTTGAATGGTTTTAAGTCCTTTCACACTGTCCTTAACTTTAGTTTACTCTTACTGTGTAGTGATAATTTGATCGCAGAGGCAGCTGGTGGAAATGTATCCGCTCAAGCTTTAAAGGAAGCTGATGAGAAGGCTTTTCAGGAATCAGAGGTAAACTCGAAGTCACTTTCAAAATCAATCTGTATGTTACATAATGGTTTTTGATGATGACTCTCCAACATGTTTCTGCAGACGGAAGTGCTGAGGCAGCTAACATCTATGGGTCGGCTTGTAGTTTGCGCTGGAGATGGTGCGGTACAGGGCTTGAAAAATCTGTAGGTTCTATACAAGTCGCAGTGGTTTCCCTCTAGCAGTTCGAGCTTTTAATCTTCTTAGACTTTTATAAATTTCTCTTCTGTCTGTTCACATTTGATGGTAAATGCTTGAACAGTGCACTTTTAAGACACGGGATCTCCATATGGATTGATGTTCCTCTGGATATCGCGGCTAAAGGGAATGATTCATTCAACTCAGAACCTATCCCTGAGGTCTTTCTTCTTTCTTTAATGTGACCTGCTTAATCTTTCTGTTGGCGTTATTACAAAGATACTGACCTTCATGATGGATGAACACAGTTGTTTGAGTCGCTAAAAGCGAGTTACGAAAAATCAAGAAATGGCTACGATACAGCAGATGCATCCATTTCCCTTGAAAGTAAAGATTGAATGCATAAGTCCATAATATTATCCTTGATGACAGTTTTATTGGATGACTGATGCTGTTTTTGTTCTTGGAAACAGGAGTAGCTACAAAGCTGGGATGTGATGACTTGGAAACGGTAACTTCTGAAGACATTGCTTTGGAGGTAAATTTTAAGCCGTGTGGTTTTTTGTTCTCTTTTCATATTGACTTATGATTACAAATGTGGAAAGGTTCTGAAACAATGTTCTTCAGGTCCTGAAAGAAATAGAGAAGTTGACCAGAGTGAAGAAAATGATGGAAGAAGCCTCTCGACCTTTCTAGGTTGATTTTCACTCACTCAAGCATCGTAAAATCTGTCAATTTATAGGTTTTTTTTTTAAAATTCATATGATTTCTTTGTATATCATCGACATTAGTTAAGCATTTTGCTCAAAAATTAAGTGTTTTTTGCGTTTATTTCACTCTTCAAGTGAACAAAACTACAGTGACGACTGACGTGTGACTGTGAGGCTCAGCTTTGGGTGGAGGAGAATTGTTTGTCGTCTCTCACGTGAGATCACGTGTTGGGCTTATTCTACTGATCCACTAAAATGTGGGCCCAAAATATATGGCCCACTTAGGGATAAGACCGTGAAACAGAGAAAGTGCAAAAAAGCTCATCCCAATTCCCAACAGCTTTTTGTCTCTCGTTGTTTTTTATTGTTTTAAAAAAAAACATTTCTCCATTTTTTCCTGTTCGTTGGAGTCGCAATATTCGGTGTCGGTAAAACAATAAAAACGGTAAGATTTACAGATTATTAACGTAAATGCGCGTATTTTGTCTGGTATTTTCCTGCCAAATTTGTGTTTTTGTGTTTGTTTTAAACAAAAGAATCAAAATCCGTAGATATTTAGAATGTTTAATCTGGGAAATTCGTATCTCGATAAAACAAAACGTATAGAGAAAAAATGTTTAATTAGAAGAAAAAGAAAAGGAGAGCGATGGTAATGGCGATGAGTTATTGGGATTTGTTTATAAACAGACGAAAGATAAGGGACGAAGAGGTACCTCCTCCTCCTCCTCCTGCCTCTTTCTCTCACCCAAATATTCTTCTTACCTTTTTTTTTCTCCTCCTTCTTTTTTCTCTTTTGGATTCGTCTCTTCCTCTTCTTCATTCGATTTCAGTTTGATTCTAATTCTTACTAATCGAACCAGAGGTTTAGGTGAATGATTCCGATTTGTTAGACTTCGTCTGAAATGTTCGCTTGAACGGATTTTTGTAATCCATTGCTTAATCGGTGCGTCTTTTCGAGATTTCTGTTTCGAAATTGTTTTCTGCGTTTTTCTGTGTTTTGATCAATCCGAGTTTCGTGGTTGCATCGGTTTTACGAGCTTACGATGTTATCGTCGATGGTGGTGATGTTATGAGCTGCTTTGTTTTCTGGGGATTTGAGTATTTTTTTGCTATGAGAAATTTATATTGATTTGATCACAAGTTTATGCCGTGCAATTTCTGGTTGATCGTGTCGCGTTCATGATCTGCTCCAAACTTTTGATCATGATACGTTTAATCATTTCGTTGTTCTCCAGAGATTTTGTGGCTGTGTTCGATCGTTTGTACTTTGCTCAAAAATTATACACGTGTTCTAGTGATGTTTGCTTGATACCTATATACTGAGAAATTATGAGGATGATTTTAGTTTTGTGAATTTACTGCTTCTGAATCATGATTTTGGGTTATATTTGTTGGAATGGCTCGTGTTGTTTGATCTCGTCTTCTTGCTTAAAACTCTGAAAAAACTTGTTAAATCTACGAATGTTTCCGGATCATGATTTGTTTGATCGTTTCTTATCCTTTTTAACTGGAAATATGTCATAACATTTTTAGCATTAAAATTTCTTCAATTGTGTTCTGTTGAAGTGTTGATGCTTAAGCTTAAGAATCTCTCTGAACAACTTTTGGACTACTACGTCCTAATTATGCTTGATATGTTACTGATTCCGTTTCACTATCTTGTTCATTTCAGGAAAGTGTAACTGCAATGAACTCTGTATCCGTCACTCTCAAATTCCATGTAGCTCCAGAATTCTCTAACATAAACCACCGTCGAATAAATGTTAAGTTTATGCCAGTCAGTAGGCAAGCAATGCTCGAGCTGTGGATGCCTGTGACCGATACATAGTTTTAGATTTAATTTGTTCTGCTAGAGGATAGAGGTAGTCAAAGATTGTTATTGCAAAGATTCGGTAGTTTCTAGGGAGTTTCTAGGGATTTGGAAACTGACATCGCAGAAGTTCCTTTGAGCATTGGTTATGGGTCTGCCACAGACTGCTTCAAGCGAGCAATCCCATGAAGCTACGTCTGCACCAAGTTGCAGCCTTTCGCAAAGTCTGCCTGTGTACGCCACTTCCCATGATTCAGATGGCCTTAATAGAGGAAGTGAGGGAGGCATCTGCTCTTCCATTGGAGAATTTGTTAGGAAAACATCACTGGAGCCTCTAGAGCAGACAGATGATTCGTGTAGATTCCATGGCACTCGTGTTGAGACCTCGTCAAGTGCTCAGGGATCGACTAGCTATGCTGCTGATAAGGTTGGTTCGAGTCTCACTGGAGCTAGAAGGATAGTTGGTTTTGCATCAAGCGAAACTAGCTCAGTGGACAACAAACAAACGAGTGTAGCTGTTGGAGTTACAGGAGTAGATATTGGTGGTGGAGCGTTAGTGAGGAAACGAGTACTCTCCCCTCTGAACACTCTCTTCCCTGTGAAATTCAGAGGTGACCTGCTTGATATCAGCTGTAGTAGTAACCACCAGCAGATTACTTATTCTGGTATCTCTAATGGATTCTGCAATTCTGTCGCACAAGATCACAAAAAGGTTAATCTCGCTAGTAGGTTACATCTCTCAACCACTCCTACGTCCACATCCACAGCCACTTGCTGGGAGTGGAAGAATGCCTCAGACGGTGGTAGACTCTCGTCCATGGTCTTCTCTGATGGTCCATTGCTTGACTCTGTAGACCTCCGCAGACCCACTAAAGGCGAGGTTTGCTTATATTCGCCAGTATATGAAACGCATGGAATACCGAATATGCCATTGCCTTGTGATAAGGATATATCTGTCTCTCCACCGCTTTCTATGTCACCACTTGGTCCGAAGTTTTCTGAGAGGATAAAAGCTGTAAGAAGTGGCCAAAATGGGAAGGTAGTTGAAGATTTAAGGAATATCAGTGAGGAAGCAGGATTAAGGATTGAGCGTAGATTGTTTGACGATGCGTATGCTCTTAGGAGAGCGTTCTCGATGGACAGAGGTATTGAATCAGCTCCTGCTTCTCCGTGTAAAAGGTTCAGTAGAAGCTTGAGTGGACGTCCCATTCAGAGGTCATTGGTTGGTTCTTTCGAGGAGTCACTCTTGACTGGAAGATTGTCATGCGGGACAACAAATCAGGTTTTCATCACTAATTCTGATGCTTTGATGACTCCACTTTATAGGTCTTTAGATATTTACATTCTTGAACTTGCGTAGGTCTCTATTTATGGAAGAAAAATGAGCAGCTTTAGAAATTGAGGACTTGTAAAACTGGCTATAGCAGAGGAATGTGTATGTTTTAATGTCGTAGTTATCTCCATCCTGCTTAGTGCTTATGCAAAAGCCAAAGACGCAGAACTAAGCTCCTTTGAGTAAAAAAGGTTTTTATTTCTTTGTTGAATTAGGCTCTTGACTTGTGTCTGCTATTTTTTGGTACAGCAGATTGACGGTTTTCTTGCCGTTCTTAGTATTGCTGGGGGAAACATATCGCCAAAATCACAGAAGCTTCCATTCTCAGTAACCAGTGTTGGTGATGATTGCCTCTTGCTATACTATGCCTCCATAGATCTCGCTGGAGGATCTAAATCGAGCAAATTCTGGGGACAGAAGATGAAAACAAGTCAAATAAGCTCTGATGCTCAGAGTTCCAAGAGCCAACTTCGGATCCCCATTAAGGGTCGGATACAACTGGTATCTCCCCTTTCTATTTGCTTTTTGCTCTATTAATTCTGCATTTAACATATATGCTGTGGCCAAAAACTCATTTGAAGGATGGTTGCAGTAGTTTTCTCGTGTAAAAGTAGCGGTTTAGCAGCTGCAAGTCTCCCTAAATTCCAAATAACCAAATGCTTATGCAATATTTTCAGCAATTACTGATGATTGTTTTGATCATCAGAGTATAGTTTACTAGTTTAGTATTTCGATCGTCACCTAACCAAATTGTAATTGTAATCCCTGGCTAGTTGAAACTGTTTCCCCAGTGTTACTAAATTAGAGTTTCGAAAAGCTCTAAATGTTCACTCATGATATAAACTGCTTTTTATGCAGGTTCTTAGTAACCCTGAGAAAACACCTCTTCACACCTTCCTCTGTAACTATGACTTAACTGATATGCCAGCTGGTACAAAGGTAACATAGAACATAAAAGATTACACATTTTCTCGTAGGGTTTCAAAGCACTCTGCCTTTGCATTTTCAGTTTCAAGAAAAGAAAGTGATTCTGTGTTCAAGAAAGAAAATCATTAGTAATTGTTAAAACGTACCTTCTATAGCCTGAGCAATTGAAGGTAATAGGGCCTCAGGCAAGAACAATGTACCTTCTTTTGTTGAACTGATCTTTTGTTTGTTTTTGTGTATTGTATAGACGTTCTTGCGCCAAAAGGTAACTCTGGGATCATCTAATCCAACTACTGAAGGAACGCAAGAGAACACTAGAAAAGCCAAAAGCTTGGAAAAGGAAAACTCTAAAAATGGGAACAGGGAAGAATGTGAAGGATCTGATTCAGTGGAAGGAGATGAGAGATTTGATGAAAGTGGAAAAAGCTGTTTAAAGTCGTATAACGGTGGTTCTGGTGCTCTACGGTACGCTCTTCATATGAGGTTTGTTTGCCCATTACCCAAGAAAGCTTCAAAGAAACCTGAAGAGACCGAAGCCACTGGACAAAAGAAAAACTTGGATTCAGACGGGAAGAGGAGGTTCTACCTGTACAACGACTTGAGAGTCGTGTTTCCTCAACGCCACACAGATTCCGATGAAGGAAAGGTACGGCTACGAGATTTGCGTTTTGAGTCTTGACCAGCGTTTTGTAAACATATACGTATAAACATCATTTTGTTTGTTTGTGTTTGTGTTGCAGTTGAAGGTGGAGTACCATTATCCAGAAAATCCAAGATACTTTGACATCACAGAGTGACTTTGAATGGTCCTTGTTCCACGAGGGTTGTATGGTCTTCTTGCTTAAGAAGAAATCAGTTGACCTTTTTGTACATACTGTTAAAATGGATAATGTTTATCCATTATATTATTTTATTA